TCTGTGTCACATTCCAATAGGAAGTCAGCTACTGCCTGGCCCTTTATGGCCGTTCGGGGCTCGTAAGTGATAATGAACGAACTTAACTCGATCGCTCACTTGGTAACTCTTCCTGACAGGTTTGGTTCGTGCAAAATAATCCTGATCGGATAAGTGGTGAGGACAACAATTGAGTGAGACTCAAAGTAATGCCGAAGCTTCTATTTGGCTTGCACCAACGCTAGTTTAACTCGTTCTGCCTTCGAATACCTTTTCTCGGGATCAGTCATCATTTTACTAACATAAAATGCGGGGTACTGCTTCCCGTCTTCTTCCCGAACCAAGGTCGCGCTTGTTGCAGCATTCAACACTGCAAGATAGAGGTACAGCCGCTCGTTCTGCTTTGGGGCAGAAAGGATTGGTGGATTTTGCATATACTTCTTTAGCTTGGACAATGCTTGCCACTGCTCATCCCCCCAGTCCTGTTGCCCGTGACCTCTTATGGTATCGAAGAATGGCTTGCAGCGGTCTGACAACCTTGAAATGAACCTGCTAAGTGTGGCTATTCTTCCTGTAAGAGCCTGGACCTCTTTAAGGGTTCTCGGCTTCTCATTCCTTACTAGCGCCTCAGCCTAGGTTGGGCTTACTTCGAACCCTCGACTGTTGACAATGTGACCTAAGAATTGTCCAGTGCCCACTCCAAACGAGCACTTTGATGGGTTGAGTCTCATGCCATGCCTCTGCAGTACCTCAAACACATCTTACAAGTGTGCCAGGTGATCCCCTTTCTTCATACTCTTCACTACCATGTCATCAATATAAGCTTCCACAGTTCTACCCATCTGATCTTTGAAAATCTTGCTAACTAGCCTCTGGTATGTGGCTCCTGCATTCTTCAGCTCGAAGGGCATCACTCTATAACAATAGGTCCCTCGCCCTGTCACAAAAGATGTATTCTCCTCATCGTCTGGATGCATAGGGATCTAGTTGTAGCCCGACTAAGCGTCTAGAAAGGTTAAATGCTCATACCCAGTGGTTGCATCTACCATCTGACTGATCTTTGGCAGGGGGAAACTGTCCTTAGGGCAAGCCTTGTTCAAATTAGTGAAATCAATGCAAACTCTCCATTTCCCATTATTTTTTTGGACAACTACTACATTGGAAAACCAAGTGGGGTATTGAACCTCTCTAATGAAACCTGTTTCTAACAGTTTGTCTACCTCATCTGCTATGATCTAATTTCGCTCTGGTGCAAACCTCCTTTGCCTCTGTTTGACGGGCTTGAAATGTGGGTCAACATTGAGGGAGTGACATGAAAGGGACGAATTGACTCCTGATATGTCTAGATGACTCCAAGCAAATACATCTGCATTCTTGGTTAAAGTCTCGACCAACAGTCGCTTTTCCTCCGCGGTCAATTTTGACCCTATCCTTGTTGTTCTCTTGGGGACCAGAGGGTCGATCTGCACCTCTTCTAATGGTTCCTCGGTAAGGACCATTGGCTCTGCCTCCACTTCGACTCCTTTGGGTGGAGGTTTGCTATTTTGGGCTCACAGGACGAACGGCCGCCTTGCCCTTTTCCGCTGGCCTTGAGAGTCACTACGTAGCACTCCTTTGCTGCTACTTGGTCACCATGGATGTCAATCACTTCGCTCCCATCTGGGCTTAAACACCTCATGACGTGGTGCAAGGTGGATGGGATGGGACTCCTTGAACCCGGTGGATCCACCCTCTCCCCATCAAGAAGTTGTAAGAAGGGTGAACGTCCACTATGACAAAGTTCTCTTTCAAATTCCTCCTCGCAGCACACATTTGGTAGCTCAACCACTCCAATGGGCTCTACTCGTTTCCCGTCAAAACCTATCAAGGGATTCCCTGTGGGTTTGACTTGTTTTAGGTCCACCATCAGCTGCTCGAAGGCTATCTTCCTTGTGATATTTGCATTATTACCCGGGTCAACTAAGACTCTCTTAATCAAGCAGTTCGATACATCAAGCTGATCACCAACGGGTCTTCATGCGGAGTTTGGATCCTCAAAAGGTCTGTCCAGTCGAATCTGATCAAAGCCATGTTGTTCTCCTGGCGGATCGTGTTGACAGTGCCGAGCCTCCTCATCTTATGGGCTTAACGGAGGCGCGTCCGCCGCAACTTCTCTGACTAATCCTTAGCCTCTGGCCATGTATGGCATTTATGACTCAAACCGGCCTTCCTGTGGATTCGACCTTTGATTCCTCTTTACCTGATCAATCGGGCGATTTTGCTCCTTGACTTGGCCTTAGACATAATTGGCAAACTCGCTTCTCGCAATCAGCAACTCAACCTGTCTCAAGTTTCTGCATTCGTTTGTTTGGTGTCCAAAATCGTTATGGAACGCGTAGTGCTTGGACTAATCTCGTTGTTCGAGTGGCTGTCTGATCGGTTGGGGCGGACGGAACATCGTTTTATTCTCTTGGTACAGTCATGCCAAGGTGACTTTAAGGGGAGTGATCATATCCTCCTCGCGTGGCCTCTTCTCTGCCCTCCAAGGAGCTTCAGTTGGCTATGCCACTAAAGATTTCTGAGTCGTCATCTTGGCTTTGGATCTGTTCTCCACTGTGACCATCGTCGTCTTCCTCGTATTGACATCTTCATCTTCCTCCAGTTGTACATAGCCCTGCGCCCTAGTATTTAGCTCATCCATAGTCTTGGGCGTCTGCATAACCAAAGATGTGTGAAACTGAGTCCCTCTGATCATAACGAGCTTGAATGCCTGCACTACCGATGAAGGGTGGCACTCAATCACCATGCTCTTCTCCAAATTGAATCTAGTAAGAAAGGCCTGAAGATGATCGCCTTCTTGCTGTCGCATAGTGAACAGACACGATATATCCTTCTTTATTCTCCTGTTGCCGAAGTACTGACCTATGAAAAGATCATAGAGTGTTCGGAAGCTTCCAACTGTGCCCCTCGGTAGGTGCTTGAACCAGTTGAGTGCAAGTCCGGTCAGGCTCGTTGGTAAGACCTTGCATGTTAGAGCGTCATCCTCTATATCTAGGGCCATTTTCAGCTGGATCTGGTAGACATGTTCAGTTAGATCCTTGGTCCCGTCGAATAAGGTAAACGTTGGCATCGAAAACTTTCTAGGCTTTGGTGCTCTCAAGATCTCCTCTGTGAATGGCGAGTCGTTCGTCCGGGCTGAAGTCCGAAGGGCCTCGTTGTTCATCGGTGGTGCCCTCTGCTCGTTATGTTGCTTTCCGATGGCCTTCTGGTCATGGTTGCTCACCATCGACTGATGCAAATCATCGAACACCCTGTCTGCGGTTGACTCCTTTTGCTATGAAGGAACAGTCTCGCCGCGCTGCTGCGGGTCTTTATGAATGGATCCCTCTCTCTACGCCCGACGGTTGGCGTTCGGGGGCACCGCTCTCTCATCCACCACTGGTGGTCGAGGGAGCAGCGGAGCCTCCCGTTGTTCCATTCAGGCCTTAAGCTCCTCGTTCTCTCTCCATAGGGTTTCAATGACACTCATCAACTTGTCGTGCCTCGCTTGCTGATCCTCCTCTTGCTGCCGGGATCCTTATCCTCCGATCATTGTTCCTGAACAGAGTTATGTCATTTGGTGTTGAAATCAATCGGATCTACTCTTCTTTCCCACAGATGGCGCCAGATGAAGATGCAAGAAGTGGCTCTCTATATTAGGAAAGTATTTTCTTACACTCCACACAAAAATTCCCCCCTCTTTCTCTCTTTAACTTCTATTTATAGAAGTGTACGCTTGCCCTAAAACCTCTCTCAAATTTGGGCCTATCTTCGATGGGTCTTCCCTTTGGGCCGTAGTGAATGGAAGGCCCTTTCATAATGCATTAGAGGTTTGGCTTGGAGGTGGTCCAATAGAGCTCTGGCCAGATGGGTCGATCTGTAAGCGGATCAATGGCCCAACTAAGCTCTGGGCCTGGTGGACCTGACCACACATGGCCGGTCCACTTTTGGTACCTTTAGTACCCTTAGATGAGCAGCTTTCGCAATGGTGAGGGTGTTGAGGAGGGATGAGATGCTCTTTTCTGCCAATCATTTGTACACCCTTAGGTTTCATGTCCGTCCATTCCACAGTGTAGCTTGAATCTGTCTCCCCTTCAAGTAAACCCTAATTTCTTTAGGATTTTATCCATCGTCCTCGTTATGAACCAAACAGGGGATCTTAATCTTGGGATCTTGGATCTCTTTATCTGCTACAAAGTGTACCGAATTCGAGATGAGATAGATAGGTTCCACCTTTACCCAACCTCAAAGGATAGGATCATCGGTTGTGACAACTCCTCTTTTGAGATGAACTGGAAGAGCTGCCTTGTACTTGTTGGGGGTGAGTGGAAGGTCTCTTCTTCTTATAACTGGAAGATCCTGAGGGTGTTCAGCTCCTTAGGTATTCCCTCCCATTCCCACCCTCACTTTTAGGTATTGTTATTGCTTCATGTGTGATGTCCACATCTTTTAACTTTGCAATTTTACTGGTACAGATAAGGACAATGTTCCTTCTGCCGAAGTCAAGCACAGACTAGATTACCTTCTGCAGAACGTGTGGAGTAACGTCCCTTCATCATCTCTCTTTTCTTTTGATAAGTTGAGGTCTATTTCCTGATGTTATTACTCACAAATACAAAGAGAACTGAAAACAGAAGCAAAGAAGATTTTCTTTTAATTTTGAGTGTTCTTATTCTTAGTCTTGATAGAACAAATTTAAATTCTGAAGATCAAAATTTAATAAGCATTCTTGCTAGATGATGTGAAAATAACAGTCCATCTGGACAACATGGGTCCCATGCCAATCAGACAGCTTGAGATGTCAATTCCATCTTCTCCATGTTATACTTTATAATAAGCTTTTCATAGTTGATTCTCTTGTTCTATCACTTTCAAAATGTCAAAAGTTTATGAACAAACATAAAATTTAGTGCAATAATCCCTATCCCAATACTTTCCAGTATGTTTTGACTGGTTTCTTTTGCAATGGAAACGTAACATTTTCATCTCTTTATGATGAGCAGGTTGAACAATCGAAAAGCTAGGCTAGCCCGCGCGGCTAAGGATGTCCGAACACCTTCTGAAGGGGACAATGCTTTTCCTGACAAACAAGGGGGATCAGGTATTGCACTCTGTGATTCACCCGCAAGTCCTGTTGAGGATGTTTATGTCCCATCGACTGCAAGAGGGACTCATCAGACTGGAATGGCGGAAAGCACATTGAGAACCGCTATTAATGAAAAATCAGAAACTGTGCTTGCAGAATTGATTGATATTTCCCCTGCAGAATTTGTTCGATGTGAACCAGGTCAGTGTGCCGTGCTTGTAGATGGGCAAGGGGAAGAGATAGGTAAGGGAAAGGTGTATCAGGTGCAAGGCAAATGGTATGGAAGGAACTTGGAAGAATCGGAAGTGTGCGTTGTGGATGTGCTTGAGCTCAAGGCTGAGAGGTGCATGAGGCTTCCACACCCATGTGAAGCTACGGGCACCACATTTGATGAGGCTGAAACAAAACTTGGATTAATGAGAGTGTTGTGGGATTCAAACAAACTTTTCATGCTGCAACCTCGGTGAATACCTCTGGGTGTCTCTTGATTGAAGAGCTATGGTAAATTTTTTTGCCTGCAACCCTTTTTTTTGTGTGGAAAGTAATGCCTGCAATCCTTGAACTATAAATTTATGCTGTTTGTAGTTTTTAACACTTGAACCTTGATAGAAAACATTAGCATGTTTGATTTAAGATTTCCTTTTGATAAATTCTTTAATTTTGTTGTGCTAGAGTGTTTCCTCTCTTCTGTGAGATATTCCTTTACGTATAATTTCTATATACAAGACTAAAAATATCTAGTGATGCTTTGTGCGAGCTGCTTTTGGCTTTTGTCAGTCTGGATATTCAGTTTACAATTGCTAGGTATTTCTGCAGATTAAAGTTATAGCCTGAGGAGTGAGATACACTGGTTGGACAGTTCCAAGTTAGTTCAATGGTGGGCCGCTTGTGAAATGCATCCACCTAGGAGAGGCGGCCACAGTTTATACGGTTGTAACTAATGGCAGGAGGAGCCTTCTTGTAAGTTGCTGGAAAAATCATTCAGTTGCCTAACGATAAACGACTCCGTCTGGTGGAATTCAGTGAGCTTCGTAGGAATGGTCGGTGGCATTGATTCTATCACATGGCACTATGGCAGAAAGAAAAAGGGAATTTTGCCCAAGGAGGCCTGTGTTGGCCCTCAGTCAATGAATCTCAGTATTCTTTCTTCTGTGTATGTTGACTAAAGCCTTTCTTTCTTTTAATTTTATTTTTCTCCATTTAATGGTTATGAATTAACATATATTGTTTTTCCTTTTAAGTGATATGGAGTTAGTTGTTGATGTTTGTACTGTTGCTTTTACATAGGAAGCTTCCGAACTTGAAGGAAACCCATAGTTCTGACTCCCTTTGCTTACTCCTATTTCAACTTCATTTCCAACGTGCCACAAATGTATGCTTGTATATGTGCCTAATGATGGTATGTTTGTCTACACAATTCTGTTTGTAGCCTAAAAAAAAATGGTACACGGAGGGTGAAAGAAAAAAAAGACCAAAATAAAGAATTTGCTGAACTAAACCAAGAAGGATAAAGATGGTTTATGCTTCTTTACATCCTGTTCTAGTTATTGTATGTAGGTAAATCTCCTTTGTAGTTTGTATGGTTCCTCTTCCAAAAGTGTAGTGTCATTTTTTAATCATCGTTGTCTTTCCTATGGAAGAGCGAAAATCCCAATGGAATTCTTCTTTATTTATTTATTTATTATTTTTAAATATTGGATTTGGTGGTATAGTTTGATAGAATGTGGCTTCAACTTGCAATGGCATTTCAACGCAAGATGTTCCTAACTGGAGAAGGTTATCAACACGTGAATTCATTTGTGGTGAACATGTTGTTGATCTATGAAGTATCTAACATTACAGATGCATCTTGCAAGTTGTTCCCTTGCATTGCAATTTGACTTCTCAACTATTGAAAATGTGGGGAGCTGCATATCCTCTCCAGTACACTACTTAAAATTTTGATGTATTATGTGGTATATGATATGGATGTAATATGTGTGTTGCATTCTCAAAATTAAATTGTGTTTTTTTATTTTATTTTACATGTACATTAGTATTGCACTGGAAAAGGACCCTGATTCTTGATGCAGGGAGGCAAATTGCATACTTTTAATGGTTAAAGAGATTGTAATATAGGGCGCAAAAAAAAAAAAATTATGTGTAGTACAGGGAGAATTTTTGCAGTAACCCTTAACATAATGTTATTCATTCTTTAATACCTTTATTTTTATTTATATATATTCATTCATAACATCTTTTATTTTATATATCAACAAGATTTGTAGGTGATATGGTTAGCATGATAACGAACATGTTCAACCTCAAAACTTTCCTTCCCTTGGGACAGCAGAAGGATCTTTAAACATTTCTTGCAATTTTTCTTTATTATGGATAAAGGCCTTGTATACGGACTTTTTGTCTTACCAAATATCATGTAACAAGAGGATTGTACCCCTTCCTCGAACTCTTCCATAAAATTGGTTTAGGTGAATTTTACAACAATTTTTATGCTCTTTTCTTCGCTCTTTTTGTTCTTTCCTTCTCCAAAATGGATAAAGAGAAATGTATTAGGTCTACTAATATTTTACAATTTTACCCCTTCAAATAATTTTTTTTATATACAACCACCAATGTCTATTAATTTTACATGGTCCAAGACTTTATGGTCCCAGCCAATCATAACTTGGGATCATGTAATAATTTTTGTTTTTAAAATAGAGGGCTCCTCCTCTGAATTTTGTTTAAACGGCCAAAAAAAAAAAAAAGAAAAAAAATCCCTTCCATATATAATTAAAGTAAAATGATACTATTGTCTCTATTTCAAAATAACCCAATTCACCTATTTGATGTGGAAAATGTGGGATAAAAAAAAAATACGAAGCAAAGGGAAATCAAAAGACCTAGCCTTGAAGGAACAGAGGGAGGAAAGCGGAAGAAGGAGAGCGGACAACTGAGTTTAGGTTTAAATAGTCTGTTGAAGTATTGATTAATATTACACAATTTCAATAAAAATGGACCATATAACTTTATTAGTCGGGCCTTTAAAATTCAGAACTAGTGAGAAAGCAACTCCACCATGTCCAAGCCTAACTATTTCTTCTTGTAAAATATAATAATTAAATAATTGCAATTCTTAAAATCCTTATGGTTTGGAAAATATCACACAACAAAGAAGTCTCTAATTTGAGTCGTCATGGTAAATGATGTTGCATTTTTATTTTAAACTAGCAAAAAGTAGCGGCAGAGATCTGGTGCATGCGTTAAACCAGATTCAAAGGTTGTGGGCGAACCGTAAGAGAAACTTTTTGGTTCAACAGAAAGAGGGACAGTGGTGGTAGGCTGGTAGCTGGGTATCTTGAGAGAGAGGGGGGAAACGACACCGTATCAATAGTTCGTGTACACATCTCGAATTCACTTGTCATCCTTCTCTTGCTGTGCCCTAGCTTTCTTGTGATTCTAGGTTCAGATGAGCTGCGCTCTTCAATTAATAATTTGTTATTGTTACGCCATTTGCTTAATCATATCAAATTTTTCATCGTTGCCCTAGCTTTCTTGTTTATTTCGTTTTCTCACATTTTTTCTTATGAGGTGTGATCGGTTCTATTTTATACTGATTGTTCACTGGCTTTTGTGAGTTTGTGCATTTTTATTTTTATTTTTATTTGCTTCTCTTTAACGAGTACATATTGTTTGACATCTATATATAGCACGAATGTTTTTTATGCTGCTTCAATCTTTTTTTTTTTTTTTTTTTGGGTATATATGTCAGTAGATTATCTAGATTCTATATTTTGATCTATTTCTCACTTTTTACATCTTTGAATTTGATTCGTGAGATTTTGTAGGATAATGAACAACCATGTGAAGATGACAGATTTGTAAATAATGCTGGTTTAGTTCCCTTGCAATGAATTGTCTATACACTCAATGGATAATTTTGAATCTTCAATTGCTATTGAAATAATGGTACCGAAGGTATCAAGCTTTCAGAAGAAATGCACTCTGCCACCAGTGACGAGAGCATCTTCCATGCTAAAAAATTAAAAAGTTAAATTTAAATGTCAAATTTATAATTTTTATTATGTTACAGTGTTAAAAATATTACATTTTAGTAATTTTAATGATATATTTGATGTATATTTGTATTATTAATATTAATATTAAACACTAAACATTAGAAGAAAATTAAAATTAAACCCAGAAAGAAGTAAAAATATAAAATATTTGGTCAAAAAAAAGACCCAAAAAGACAAAAACTAAAAAAAAAAAGAAATAAAACAAAATGATATAAAAATAAATATAAAAAATCAAAACCCATATCTTTTAGCCTGCCCAATCGCCTCCATCTCTATTCTCGTTCTCAGCTCTGAAATTGCCCCCTCTCGCTGTTTCAGTTCAGGTCCGCCGTTCGCAAGCTTCAGTTGTTGGCTCTCAACTCTCAAGCTTGACCCCCTCTATCTCTCTGCAACTGCTAACTTGTATGTATGGGTTTTGATTTAATTTTTTTTCTAAATCAACTAATCAAGCTCTGTAATTTTTTTCTAAATCAACTAATCCTTTTCAAACCAACTCAGTCCCAAAGAATGGGAAGAAGTAGCCTCTTCATGGCCAACAAAAGCCTGATCAGAGGTTAAAGCTAACAGGTTGCCTTAGAAGAATTTGTAAATTTGACATGGGTTTCCTCTTTCTCTTGAAGAAGCTACAAGGCCTTGATCGGCCAGGTGAACTTCAAAAGTGCTGACTTTTCGGTAGGCGTCTAACCTTAATTTAAGGAAGTGAACTTCTATACCAAAAGGAACATAGAAGAAAAGGAAGAATTTTGCTTATTCTTTCAGTGAGCTCCACCCTCTTTATATTGTAACAAGAGAGAAAGCGGTTCGTATTCAAAGTCAGGACTTGAGATGGCGGAGTTGGTATATTATAGACGCTAGGGATGCCCCGTTCATGACGAATTCATTTGTCAACCTCTTGCCAGAAGGTGCGCTAGCAAGATCGAGAACACTCCTTTTTGGTTCAACTCCAAAATACCTTGTGCCTCTGCGCTCTTCCTTCTTGACATCAAAGGCCGAGAAACTCTTCACCAAACCCATTGACAAAGAGGTTCGATTTTTGTCTACTTTTTTTAATCAAGGTCTGTAATTCTTGTTTTGCAAACTAAATCCTATGTGGTGAAATTTTTTATGATCTTTTATATATATATATATATATATATATATATATATATATGCCAAATCTGAACCCCCACCTCTCTCTCTCTGAAATAGCAGTAGCTATTTCTTGTGCTACAATTGGCAAAACTTTTGGCAAAGTTAAAAATTGGCAGCCCTTTTAGCATTGGATTGGAGATGCTCTAAGGCATGCGGCTTGGGCGGCTGTCCTGGATGATGACAGACAAGTTTATAATGATCATTTGAAGGAATTGATATGATATTATATTTCATGTTTTGCTAGTTATTATCAGATGTTGGATGAGTCAAAATATGCAAATATAATTTAAGTGAAATGTCATTATTGTCTTTATTTCATATCAATAAAAATAAAGTATTAGAGGAAATTCATTTAGTTAAGAGAGAACAGAACTAGGAGTAGTATTTATGGAAAAGGGTTTGAGTTTCATAATTTCATCTTACTTTTCCATTGTTTATGTTATCTCATCGTCTCCAGTTTCTATCCCTTGTATGAAACTGAACGCTGGAAGAAAGCCACATACTCCTTTGCCTATCTGACTACGTCGCGGTCCATTCTTATCACGCTTCGTAACAGTATATACGGTTCAGCTTTACACACTTTTTACTTTTATTCTGTAAAACCTGTTAATTTTGTTCATATCTTTAAAGGAATACATGCAGCCTTATAAGTGCAGTTTCTATGTAAGCTAGGTGATTGTTCAAGTGACTGAATAGGAATGGTGGCTCTAGTCTAGTTGTTGTTAGGTTCTCATTATGTTCATGTTTTTTTCACGTGATTGGTTGAGTTCGCCTCTTTTGTTTTAGTGTCTTGTAGTAGTTTTCTTTTTTAATTAGGCTGGTTTTTGGTAGTTACTGATCTAGTGCTAGGTAATCATGGGTCTTATAAGCAAGTGCTAATTTGCAGAAGCAAATGTTAAGATCCCAACCAATCAGCTGTAATCATGTTGTTACATTTCCTGCATCCTGTTAATATAAAAATCTTGCCCAGTCAAGGCCTTTAATATCTTCTGTCTGGTCTCACTTGGATGGTTAGTTGATCAAATGTGTTTTTTATTGGTGGGGAGGGCTATATTTTATTTCTGCCCCCTGAAAGATGTTCCTGAAGCCATTTAGAGTATTTGATATCAGTGTTGTGACATAGTTTTGGGCCTTGCTTATTCCTCTTTTGCATGATGTGGGTTATGCCCCCTTTTCTAGTGGTCTGGTAGGGAGTTGGAAGGAGGAGTTAGGTGCTGTACCAGTTGTCAATTAGTAACTAGTTGTAGGTTTAGGAAGGTGTGGGATGTGTTGTCACTTTGCCTCAGGCGGTGAATTTGAAACAAAATAATAGGACTTTGAAGAAATGGAGATTTTAGTGAACACATTGGAAGATCTTTTGTTGAGATCTTTATTCTTTTGGATTGTAGAATATGATCCAGTGTTGGTATGTGTGTGTATTTGACATGAGTATTTGTTCTTGAGCTTTTTTGGTGTTTTTGTACGGTTGTTGTATACCCCATGCTGTTGGGCACTTATAGTAAATTTACTTATAAAATAAAAAAGAACATTTGAGAGTCATTATGAGGCTGAAATTATCAAACTGAATTGATTTTCAGTTCACATTGCCTACTAAATGAAATCCATTCCATTATCAATCTCATTCTTCTCTTTTTCCTTTCCTTTATTTTTCCTTTTCACATTTATGTTGGCATCGAAACTGGTGAAAACTATCATACTTTATGATGCTATATTATTGGCCTTCCATTAGCCATCTTTATGCCTTGTAATGTTTAATTCAACATAATAGGTCTAAGATTGAATACAATCAAGAACTCTCGCTTGTTTTTCAGGTTTTAGCAATTACTAGCAAGGATGCTCTCTTTAAAAGACATTGTACCTGCAGCTCAGAATAACATAAACACACGGTTCATACTTTTGGATAAAGGAATGATAACTTTAGAAGGTCAATACAAGACATGCTTAGCACTTGTGGCCGATCAGACTGCTGCAGTTCATTTTCAGCTCTGGGGGGATGAATGCGATGCCTTTCAGCCGGGTGACATTATACATTTGGCTAATGGCATTTTCTCTTACAACCGGAACAATCTTGTGCTTAGGGCAGGCAAGAGAGGGAAGGCAGAAAAGGTGGGAGAATTCACCATGGCATTTGTTGAAACACCAAACATGAGTGAGATTCGTTGGATTCCTGATCCAAATAACTCCAGGAGATATGTGCAGGAGGCTGTTATTTCTCCCCACTCACGAATTTTTCAACCAATGCTTTAACTTCTGTACTTTGCATTTGTTGGATAGCCGTTGTTATTACAAAGGAAAGGCCATAGATTGTGAGGCTCAAGTTTTGCCTAGCATGGTACGCATTCAACTCAACATTGTATCTGTTTGATTGAATTATCTATTTTGCATCATCTTATAGGGTTTTGTTATTTCTTAGTTTATCAAGACATGCAAATCTACATTTGTAGCAGAAAATTGTCTACATGCATATCTTTTCCTTCCTCCCTCTCCATAAACACAGTTGAAGTTCTGGTTCAAATAAGCACGAATTATTAAGCGGAAGATTTGGCTTGGGTGGCTCAGAGTTTGTTGCAACTTAAGGTCGTTAATGTGTTTTGCCGCTGGCTTTGTTTGAGGCACCTAAAACAAAATTTAGTTGTATCACAAGATATCATCGTTAGTGCTTTCCTATTCAGCCACTCTGATGAATTAACTAACTAACTAACTGGGAAAATTATGGTTGATATAGTCCTTGAATTGTTTGACATTCAACTCTTATGAAGTTGAATTGTTGAAATATTGATGTGGCCTTTGTCACATATCTATGACCCACAAATTAAAGAAAACTCGTTTAAGAAATGGACATAAACATATGAATGGTAAAACCTCGTTAACTCTCCATTCTCTTTGTTCTCTTGTGCCTAAAACTAGTGGGCTCTTCTTCATCATCATCATCCTTGCCTTTGTCTCATATGGATGAGGTTGGTCATATGAATTCTCTTTTTCCATTCTTTCACATTATACACTATGTCTTTTCTTAAATTTAATTTTTTAAAATCATTTTAATTACTTCGTCCTACATAAGCTTTGGTTGGCCTCTTTATCGCTTACATTCTAGACAAACTACTCTTTCTCTTTTAACAGGTGTTTATCAGGTTTACGTTGAATATGATAATACAGCCTTAGTTTACTTTTTCTAATTTTATCATTTATAGGCTTTATACCTACATGTTATGACAAACGCAACGAACTTAAGTTGAATCAAGAATCACGACAGAAAAGTAAAAACGCCACACAAAGAACACCAAGATTTATACGTGGTTTGGCAACAGCCTAAGTCCACGGTTGGGATCCGACGAAAGTTTTCACTATGTGTCAAATCGGATATTACAAGTTTTCAGCCCTTCACTCTGTTTCTGTACGAATTTCAGAGTCTCTCTCTTCCACCACTCTAAACCCTAAGCGCCATTATATATTGGGCTACAAGAGACTAATTAGGGTCCAACAGGTCGTTAGGTTATAAATGGGTCACGTTGACCCGGCAACAAATTTGAGCCACAATATCACACTACAAGTGACAGTTCGTGTTGGCGGATCATAATCGTATCGTGTCGTCCTAGGAGTATTCTGCTAAAACAGTCAACCTAAACACGACCATTTAATAATCGTGTCAAGGACTTTCTCGAATACGACCTATGTATTTTTTTTTTTTTTTTGATAAGTAAAATGTATTAAAAGGCGTTCAAAAGGGGAACGCGTCCCAAGCTATACAAAAAACTGAAACTATGATCTCAAGGAGCCCAAAAAATCCACAATATCCTCAATGGAGGAAAAATCTCTCCCCCAACCCCAACAAAAAAGAGTACAAATAATAGAGAATTTCAACACCCCAATGGAGGACTCCTTCCCATCAAAAGATCTTCTAGTCCGCTCTTTCCAAATGCTCCACCAAACACAAAAGGGGGTTACCCTTCAGAAGACTCTCGCCTGAGCCCCCACCCATTGGCCCCTCCAAATATCCAGCAATTCTCGAGATGTCCGAGGCATAACCCAATGAATACCAAACAAATCAAAAATGAGACTCCAACAATCATGAGCCACAGGACAATGCAGCAACAGGTGATCCACTGACTCCCTATTCAACTTACAAAGACAACACCGATTAACAATAATATGTCTTCGCTTCCTCAAGTTATCCAAAGTCAAAATCTTACTCCAAGTTACAGTTCACACGAAAAAGGCCACCCTAAGAGGCGCCTTAAACAACCACACCGTCTTCCACGGGATGGAAGTGCCATGAAAACCAGAAAGGCATACAAAAAAAGACCGGACCTGGAACATCCCCTGAGAAGAGTGCACCCAAAACAGGGAGTCAACACCAGTGCCCTCCACCTCTTGTCTGTACAAGAGAGCCAACAAGCCAGTGATATCATCCAACTCCCAATCCTGAAAAGATCGCCGGAATCGCACATCCCAAGTATAAAAAGCAAATATTTAACCCATTTAACTTAAATGGCTCATGTAACCTGTTTATTAACCTAAGTATAAAATGCAAATATATATATATAAAAATAAAAATAAAAATAAAGAGTTAATGGATGACTAAATTCATGAAAATGAGAATAATTGGCACAATACAATTACAAAAAAGGCCAAATATTCAAATTGGATTTATATTAAAATAATAGAAATGTTCATTGTAATTGTTGTGTTAAAATAGGTTATGAGTTAATCGTGTTGACCTGGCATGATTGTGACACGATTAATTAAATGGGTTGAGCTCTAAAACACGAACACGACACGATTAATTGAATGGGTTTAAACGGGTTGACACGATTATGACACGAACACGATTAAGGTCAACTCAAATCCACTAACTTCATGTCGTATTCGAGTCGTGTTAAATTTTGTTACCTCTAGCTATAACTATTGTTCCCATAACACGTTCAGTATTTATCTTATATATTCTAGTAACTCCTATCATCCAACGTAACATCCTCATTTCCGCTACATGAATGAGTTGTATTTGTATATTTTTCAAAGCCCAACACTTCACTCTAGACGATATTGCTCGCCTAATAATTGTTCTATAAAATTTTCCTTTTAGTTTATTTGATATTCATTTGTCACAAAGGATACTACTAGCTTGCTTTCATTTTGTCCACCCGGCTCTAGTCTTACTACATCACCATTTCTCTCCAATTTTATTTATTTATTATTTTTTTTCAGTAATATTAATCGTAGGTCTCGTTAATAGTTATTTTGAGTAACTCTTTGATCTTGAATTGTAATATTATATTGTTATCATTGTTGACGTTATCAAATTTACATTCCATATATTCTATTTTAGTTTTACTAATTCGTAAACCTCTTGATTTTGAAGCCTTTTTCCATATTTCTAATTTTGTTGCCAAGGCTTACAACTATAAACTAATAAAATGTCATTTGCATAACATACATCATCCGATGTTTTCTCGAATATCTTTCGTTATCTCGTCTTAAATACTATCGCAAATAGGTTTGGGCTCAACACCAATCCTTGGTGTAGTCCCACTTTTATGGAAAAGTCACTAGTTTCCCCGCATGTAGTGTAAACTCTAGTCAATATCTCACTATACATACCCTGAATAAGATTTATAAGCTTTATAGGTACTTGTTTTCTTTGTAAAGCTCACCAAATTATGTCCCTTGGCACTCTATATAACCTTCGGCACACTTGTGGGCTCTTCACATATTGGCCGGCCCCATTCTTCTTGTTTTTTTTTTTTTTTTTTTTTTTTTGTGATAAGTATATTGGCCGACCCCATTCATATGGGATTATCTTAAAATTTTGGAGGAATTGAAGTAAATTGGGATTGGATTGATGGTAGCATGGAGAGTTGTGTGGATTATCGGTGAGTTTGAAATGTAAGTTGCCGAGTAAAGAGCTAATCGTGTTGGTTTCAATCACCCATAATGAGGACATGGCTAATGCTATTAAGGAGTACAATCAGATTTTCGTCTTCCCACCTTTTTTTGAAGCACTCTCTCTAACTATACTCATTTCAGTATTTTTGTTCTCTTTTTCCCAATTCCCAATTCCCAATCCCCCCCTCATTGAAATATTGCTCCCACAAATTTGCCAAAATAATAATAAATCAATAAACTTTCAAAAAATGAGATTTAAGTCCTATTTTCGGGTTAGATTTGCACTTAGAAGACCTCAAGTGCAACTGTTGACTTTCTATAATCGAGAAATCATATATTCAAAACAACCCAATTCACCTCATTGATGTAGAAGGTAAAGAAATAGAAAACAAAGGGAAATTGAACGACCTAGCCTTGTAGAACAAATGGAGGAAATCAGAAGGTGGAGAGCCGAGTTCAGGTTTAAACATCAAGAAAGAACAGAATAGAGGGAGAAAACCGAATGGAGAAGAGATCAGAGAATTGATTTGCAGAGAGATATTTAAAAAAGAATACTGGTAGAGAGCAATGGTTGGTTGGAAGCAAGAAGCCGTCTGTTGACGGCATTTTTTCCCCCCTCAAAACTTCGTCATTTCAAGCCTATTACTATGACTAAAGGATGTGGAGCACTCTCAGCCTTAGATTTGTGTCAAATGACGTGTCAAAATCATAAAATTCATCGAAACCCTATCTACCATTCCACTCCTCTCTGTCTCTCCACCGAAAGAAACATTCTCTGCCTTGTCCAAATCCTTCTACCCCTTCAGCAAAACTTGAGTAAGATTTTTAGGGTTCTAATTAGTCTCACAACCTATCTGGTCTGATTTCAGACTCTTTGGTTAAAAAGTTTGTACCAACTTTGGTCCTCAACCCATACAATTCTTTTTACCCCCAAAACCCTCTCCACTGAAGCCCTCTCACCAGTTGATGCTCGACCCCTGCCGAGCCCGCAAAACATTGGATTCTCAGCTCTTGACATTGAAGCAGAGAGAATGACAGACAAGTTTATAACGACCATTTGAAGGTAATGACATGATATTCAATTTCATGTTTTCCTAGTTACTATCAGATATTGGATGAATCAAAATATTATTGACTGGAAATATTTGGACAATAGAAAATTGAGCCCCTCAGGCCACAACAGAAAGCTTTAGGCACGTCAAGCACGAATGACTTAAATTTTCCTTTTATAGTACTTTCAGTTAAAAATGTATCATATAAGCATTGAGAATTGCAAATAACACCACATATCAGCTATTCTTTTAAAATTACTACGTAGACAATAGAAAAGAGTGGAGACAGATAATTCATGCGGCCGACGTCACTCATGTGGGATCATCAAGGCAAAGGATGATATGATACCAAAATTGATAGTCCTTGTGTTGTGTCAAAATGCAGTAAATTAATTTATTGGTGGGGTCCTTGACAGCAAAAACAGGTGCTGATGTGCAACCCACTGTCATTTTGAGTCGCATTTGGTTTTAGATGGAATTTTTATATTTACTTTTCACCTTGCCTTTAATGTCTCCAGTTTGACTGAAATCGTGAATGTCCGTGGGGTGGTATAGTGATGCTAGTTCTTTCACAAGTACACTTGAATAATTTATGCATTTTCATCTTTACGGTGGTGATAACATGCAATTTTTTTGGTGAAATTATATTTGTAATTCGGTTGGTTTGTGTCATGCTATATTCACGAAGAATGGGTGCAACACCAATCGACATTTCTTTTCCAATATTTAAATGGCCAGTGCTTGTTGATTCCTGAATGAAAGGTTTAAGTAGTTTCTTATTATGCATTTATATTCCCCCATACAAATTCTTTATTGGGCTATAACTGAGGCGTACAACATGATCTGTGCTAACTGTTGCCTAGATTTATTACATGTGGTGTTAATTCTTAGTCAACATGTTGTTCGATATACTACTGTTTCAGATGCTGGCTGTCCCAGTCCGAGACAAAATGAGGTAGTGCACTCTCGGTACAAAGGAAAATTGTGCTAGTCGGTTTCGATATTGAAAATGGGCTGCCTTTTCGTCTCTGAGTTGTGTGGGAACGTGATGTGATGGGAGTCGATCAAAATGAAATGAACTCAAGGACTCAGTGCTTCCAGCGCAACATCAAGACAATTGATGGTCTTTATATTGTTTAAACAATTATTATAGGTGCTAGATACTTAACACAGTGTATGTGGCAATTAATTTGAGTTAAATAAATTTTTTTTTGGCTGTGATTAATTTTTAATTTTTGTCTTGTTAGTTTTGTGTTGCAGATATGTAGGTGTCAGGTGATGAATAATAAATACTCCTTTGTTCCAAAAAGAATGTTCATTTTTTCTTTTTAAATTGTTCCAAAATAATTGTTCACTTTCTTTTTTCAAACAATATATTTTACATCTTAATTAAAATTTCAAATTTAAATATTCAAAACTTAAAATGACTAAGTAACTTTTTAGTGGAACACTATATGGCTAACATGTCCCCTTAAATCTTCAAAAAAGACAATTCTTTTCATAGAGCATTTAAAATAACAAGAAATATTCTGGAAAAATAATAGAGGAGTTGTATACAAACATAGCAGACTTTTGCAAAATATTTATGGTGATCCTGCTAATTTGTTTTTTTCCAAAGCTTGATTTATACCAAGATATAAAGTAAACAATTCTGCCAAAGAAAATTCACGTAAACAGATTTCTTAAAGATTCTGAAGAAAATTCACGTTTATACGCAAATTCTATTTTTATTTTTTGCATTTATAAATTGAGATACCTCTGATTATACATTGTACCTACTACACCAAATGAACTGTAACAAAAAATTTCTACAAATATAGAGAGTTCTACTAAGAAACAATTTATAATCGCAAATCTGGACATAAATTGAAACTATATATAAATATCATCTTTTTAAAAGAATAATAAAAAATAAAAAGAATAGAAGAAACAGAGCACAAAAACAGTTAAATAAAAAATAAAAAATAAAAAGGTAATTTATCTATAATTTACATTACAATACAAAACCTTACATGACAGCTCTCTCTTAATAGTACAGATAAATGGAGCATTGGAAAAGGATGATGATCACAACACCAGTCCTCTATCATTCTCAAGTTATGTGTACACCGACATGCCGCCTATCATGAAATCCTCTCTTAGAATACAACAATGTGCTGTATGCAGTGACAGGTTGCAGATTTTCTGCTTGCTACTGAACGGGACTACGATCATCTTGCCATAGGAACTTGGGATTTCCAAATTGGAAAATGATAAATATAGAAATAAATCAATCAGACGACCTCAAATATATGCAAGTGAGCTCCGGTCGAGGTCCGGCTGCGGGCGACCTCTAGTAGGAGTTGGTGGCCTTTGAATGTTAAGCTCCTGCAGGGACCAATGCCAACAAATTTATTCTATAGGCAAACCCAAAAAAAAAAAAAAAAAAAAAAGAAGCTATTTGTGGAAAAATTCAGCACATAAAAGGGCCTTGCTGCACCATAGAAATTGCAAAATTCTTGGCAAATCTCACCTGCATCCAAGTGTCTTCTAAAACACGTTCAGGAGATGTCTCTGGTGACTGAAGAGGTGGTGGCAAAGGATGAATCAATTTAGGAACCACAACTAACCCCCTGCCAACTACCAGTATTGCTCCAGCATTGTTGGCAGTCCCTGAAATCATTTCCTCAATTAGATGCAGATGCTTGAACTGGAAAAGGAGAAAACTCAAAAGCGATTAATGCTTACCACAATAGTTGGTTGCAGAAAAAAGTGTGATCAATTGCCCCTGAGCAAACCGTTCAAACCCATCCATAACACATTCATGGGCTCTTATTATGAGTTGTAATTTGTTTCTCTTACAGAAATCCGTGACTCGATCAGGCTGCAAGTAAATAATAACAGTAGGATTATAAGCGTATGCACATGGCAAAATTTGCACAAAGATGATTACCAAACAGCGATGTGAAAATGCTCATGTCCAAATCATTATTATTTTATTTATGACAATGATCACCAAATATTTATCATCATCATCATTATTATTATTAGTTTCATGTTGATATAAGTAGTAGAATTGGAATAGGCTGGGCAAAATGGAGCCAAGCTAGTGGTGTCTTATATATTGGGTTTCTGCATTATTTTGAGTTTTAATGAATTTGCTGAAAGATATGCATATGAATATTCATTTGAAGTTTATATATGTGTGTGAATACAAATATTAATTTGATAAATTATGGGTTTGATTGATGGTTAGTACTTTTTACCAAGGCCCTCCAGTGATTGCACCCCCACACAACCACCAAAAACAGCTAATCCGTTCCAAATAGTGTTGGGCACTCTATTTGGTTCTTAGTTTGTGAGTTTAATATCCATGGAAATTTTGATCTGGAATTAGAGAGAGACAGAGAGGATCTATGACTGAATGGTCAAGATGGAGGGTTAGTAATAACACTTGACATTGTAATTTTTTGAATCTCAAATGGCTACTAATGTGTTTTAAGGGAAAGAACAGATCCATCGTAACACAAAAATTTATGACGGTTCTAATGGCTGATTGGAGGGAGGTCATTGAGCACACGTGCTCAACTTATAAGAGGGAGGGGGGGGAGGGGAGGGAATGTACCTGAGTTAAAAAGAAAAGCATATATAAAAATCATTTTACCGGCTACTTTATATGGAGCAATGTGTTGGTTGCTAATAAAAAAACAAGAATGGCCAAATGGCACATTAATGTGGCTGAGATTAAGGATGACAACAGTGCGGGTATGGGGCCGGGACTTCGAAAACCCCGCCCAGCCCGTTTAACCGTTCCCATCCTGAACCTGAGACAGGTTCCTTTCTCATAGCCCATCCCTGTCTGAAAACAGGAAACTTAACCCCGTCCCGACCCATTTAACCAAAAAAAGCCTAGCCATTCTCAGATTATTTACACTAAAAAAATTGTGTATATACACACAAAAATATACAACTATGTGCTTGGGTATACATATGTCTATGTAGATCGGGAAAAAAAGGATTTACTAGTAGCAGTTGCAATGTGATGAGGAAAGTCAGAAGATGAAACTTGCCAGAGAGGATTCACCAAACGTAATGGTTCTACAATCACATCTAGTGCCACATTGAAGCCTTACGAAAGAAACCTTGACATTGCTTGAGATCACCATCAGATGATTGTTGATCATAGATGATGGAGATTGTCGGAGAGAGAATAGAAGAACCTCGTATCGCTGGAGAGAGAGAACTGATAAAGCAGATTGCCAATCAGCCTTTGGCAACTGTGGGTGTCACTGTGGAAGAGGGAAGTGGGATGGGCGGCTGATGGGCTTAGATAGAATTGAGGAACCCTAACTTTAGCTTAGGTAATTGTGTTCCCATACCCGTCCCATTATAGGGGCTGAGCGGGGGAAATTGTCACCCCTAGCTGAGATGCAATTGTTGAGATGGATGTTCGGAGTAACTAGAAGAAATAAGGTTAATAATCAACGCGTGAGAGAGCAATTAGTAGTACCGCTTAGTGAGAAAGTAAGAAAAAGTAGAGTAAGGTGTTATGGACGTATTCAATGCAAGCCTTTAGATGTACGGTGTACCAGTGAGAAAAAGAAGAATAGTTTCTGTCGAAGGTACGAGACAAAAAAGATGACCAAAGCTAACATGGAATGATGTGAAAATAAGAAAAGATTTGAAAAAATAAACTCTAATAGGTGAAATGACTTGTGATAGAAAATAATAGAAAACAGAATCCATGTAGTCAGTCCTGTTCGTATGGGAAAAAGGGAAGGATGATAATGATGATTGTTTATTAGTTTGATAAAGATCCCCAAATCCCATGCCTTGACCAATATCCATTTAAAAAGCTAACGATCACCAAATTTTGCAAGTTGTCAACTTTGCTCAATAACTTCTAGTTTAATTGGGATGTGGAAAATGGAAAAGAACGCGGCTTCTAGGACGTAGGCCAGGAATAAATCTTCATTTTACTTCCCTTGGTCTACACTGGTGAGCTTCAACTCTAAGGAAACAGGCAACTAGGGTAATTACTATATTATCATGTGTAAAATGTGTGTTGCATGCTATCTAAAATATAGTGTAGATCCAAGCATTGAAGCAACAATACACACCAACCTACTATTGTCACCAGAGAAATTTGCACATGAAACTCTGTAGATGACGAAACCTAGAATATATATTTAACAGTCATATGATTCATATCCTTGAAGTCAGAGAATCAAGGTTTTTTTTAAGAGTAAAGATCAAGCCAAGAGAAGAGGCATTCTTCTTTCAATCCATATTTACAAAACACAGGAACTAATAATTGACCAAATAAAATCACAAAGCCATTCCAAGTACAATCATGCTATGTTTGGCAGCACCAAATCGGTGCCTTGGATTTGGGATTGGAGAAAATTTAATACAAAATTTAAACTAAATTTCCTTGAATCCAAAATTCAAGACACCAAATCGGTGCTCCCAAACATAACATCAATGAATTATAACATACATACCCCGAAAGTGACAAGACCAGGTCCTCTAGCATTTGGTCTCAAGCCCTCTACGCTATCATTTTCTGTGGGATCAGACCTGTAAGTGAAACGATGTAAACAACACTGGATGGAAACTTAAATATTCGAATGAGCTACAAGACTTCAACATACCATAGAAGATCCATCAAAATTATAGATCCAGCATCCATCGTTATGGGCCTTTGTAGTTTCTCTATCTGTTCTACTGAGTTTATTGATCTCCCTATGCCACCATGCATACAGATAATTTTTTTCTCAATAAGAGCAGCAAGTGGAAGACAGTTGAAAAGTTGATTGAACCGTGTCCATGCCCAAATACCATCATTCTCTCCCTATATACACATCTGTTAATAGTACATTCAAACCTTCAAAGGAGAATCGTTTAAACATTAATCCATACCATTCTCTCAATGCATTCAATGCGAAAACCAAAGAGTGCATTTATGTCTGCAGCCTCATGATTTCCACGTATCAAGTGAACATTATCAGGATACTCAATCTGAAAAATCACCACAACGGCCAACAAGGTCAGATAAAAGAAATCAGCTAAACATAACTAAGAACTAAAACAGTCAAGGCAGAAGTTTGCCTTCAGAGCAAGAAGCAAGGTAATGGTCTCCAAGCTGTGCTGTCCTCGATCCACATAATCACCCAGAAACAAGTAGTCAATATACCTGAAACATAAAAAGACAGCACTGTAAAACAAGTCACAAAATCCTTACTCTCAGAGACAGAGAGAGAGGTCATGAAAAACTGTTTACAGGACTAGTTATTCAGATTCTTAATTTATAATGATAAATAAACTTAATAGATATAAGCATTCAACCAGTGGGGCCAATTCAAGCAACAATAATAACAAGAGTATTACATTGTGCAAGAGCAACATTTGCCAAACACATAAGCAGAGTGGTCTATGACACACTCCAGAGGCAATAACCTGCCCCTTTGATCGCCTGCTACATCAAGCATCATTGCTTCGAGATAAGACTTGAGCGGTCTAACATCCATGTCAAATTATGTAGAGCCTCGGTGACCTGAACATAAAGCTGTCTGAAATCTGAGTCAATAGCAGCAATACACACTGCACAGATTGACTAGAATTCATGCACGGGTGAAAGGCATGGACTACTTAGCACAAAATAGGGGGTCCTAATCACACACCACAAATTCCACAACAGCGAGTAAATTTATAGGCAAAGTTGCCTATGCATCAAGCGTTTGAAACCTTTCCCCACATATTGATGATTCCATGCTTGCATCGGACATGCGCTATTGGGTAATTCTCAAAGACCACCTGTTAAAATAATTAGCATGCTCAACTCTTTTTATTGCCATTTAAAGAGCCTTCACAGGATATAGACTTTGATTCTGATATTAAATTAGGTCAAATTATTTTCTGTTGTAAATTTCCACAAAAGGTTTTCTTAATTAATTTGCTTCATCAGTTGTTCTAAATGATGGTCCCTGACCAACTTACTTGGTTTATGACAAAAGCACGAACCAGGCTCTATACCAGCACAATAGTACATTAATAATCATATTTTAATTGACCGTTGGGATTTCAGATCTCCCTCCACCAATTCTATGCATGTCCTCTTGCCCTTTCCCCTATACAATTTTCAAACATTATCAGCTTTCGATCTTCTAATTCTGACATCAAATGAAGAATGGGAATAGGGACCAAAAAGAATATCCCTGTATGTGTGATTGTGTGATGTGCGTGTGGAGGGGGAGGGGAGGGGACTTCAACCAATCTCAATCCAATGTCCCAGGATTTACACCTACTAGAGCTGCACTTGCATTTCTTACAGAGCACTTTTCAAATCTAGCCTCTCCATGCCCATTCACATTGATTGAATTCACTATATATCCTCACTTGAACCTAATTCTATGTGCAACTCCTCTTGAAGCTCTCCCATTGACAACTATATAAGCCAAGATTGTCTTAATAGTTATTGCGAGGATCCGCAGTTATTGCGCTTGCCTGGCACTTGAGTTCAAATAGGCATATTAAAGTGGCATTTAGCATATCTCAAAATCCTTAGCTCCAAGTCACAAATAAAATTCTGGTAATGTATCTAATTAGTCTCATCCACTGTTGAATATGTGTGTTAAATTAACACCACGACCTTCATCAAACACCACAGATTCTAAAAGTAAAGCAGCCTGTATGAGAATGAGAAAATAGAAACATTAAAATCCCTATTATAAAATTGGGGCCCTTTGAGACTTAACAGAACTGTTTGCAGTTATACACTTCACTTCTAAAGGTGCATGAACTCATGACCTGGTATTTATCATTTCCTGAAATTAGCTTGCTTTTATTTTTAGAAGTGAAATATGAATCAAATTTTGAATATTTGCATAAACATCAATATCAAGCTTACGTTATGTCTCCAGCTGTGGAAGGAAATCCATATTCATCAAATAGCCGCATTAAATCACCAAATTGTCCATGAAGATCACCAAATATTTTGACAGGAGCTTTCAATTGAAGAACTGTGGGCTCATGCATAAAGATTTGTTCAGCAGCATAGCAAAGCTCGCCCACTTCATAAGAATCCAGAAAAAACCTCCTATTAACAGGAGCTTTCCAGTTTCGAGGCCTAAGCAAAGTAGAAATAATCTGCCAGAAAGCAAATGATAATGAAGATTATGCAAACATTATATTATCTTAAAAGAGAAAGAACATTAGAAGTGTGTTAATGTTTGCCTTCTTATGCAAGCCTTGAGGAGATTTTTGCCTGGTGAACCTTTTGGTAGGATTTGACAGGTCATTATGCAAGGGAACCATCCGTCTACTCTCATTTTCAAAATGATCCAAGGATAGCTGCCTAACCATCCCACCAAGATTCCCTATGGTCTCTTTAGCAATTACAACCTGTAGCATCAGAAACAGCATGATTTCTCAGCTTGAAGATGAATGGAACACAATGGATACAATGTAAGAGCAGAGGACATACAGCTCTAGGGTGAAGGCGAACATCCGCCTCAGTGTCACTACCCTCTGAAGTAGTTTCTGCAGCTTGTGAGTTGTCATCTGATACAGATGTTTCTTCTGCAGGATTGGCCGATGCAGCCTGTACAGCTTGCCACACGGCACTAGCGGCCTCAGCTTCAGCAGCAGAAGCCTCAGCCAATTTCTCCATTGAATTTTTATCCATGCTGTAAAGATGAAAACGTGTCGCAATGTTTTAAGGAAGCTCAGCAAAAAAAATTCATAAAAATAGAAAGCGTACTACAGAATAAAACCTCATGCCAGCGGAAGAGGGGATTTCAGGTTTCCCATCCAAAGTTGGTGTTAAATTAAAGGAATTCAAATTGGAATGGTTTGCTCTGGGGCTTGTCACATTTGAGGCCCTTTCGGATGTTAATAAAGGAGAATTAAGATCAGATTGAAGCGGAGAATTTTCCGCAATCAAAAAATCATCTAACAAAATATCTGCACCAAGTGACATAAAGAAATATTACTATGCAACAAAACAAGGGAGAGAATAAAGAACAACATAGAAATTACAAAAATAAGCTTAAACAGTTACTCAAATACAGAAGAGATAAACAGTTACTCAAATACAGAAAATTGAAGAACATAAAACATCAAATGGATAATCGAACGAGATTACAATTTGAGAGAAAAGGTTGTTATGTATCTATATTTCAGGACAAATTTTATTTCTTTATTAAACAAATCTACTCCAACGACTGTATTGAAAGTGTAAATATGAGTACCAATTAACAATAAAGGTCAACTTTTCACTATTATTTGCATCAGTGGAAGACAACAGCCGACAGTAATTACTGCTCATTTTCCGGTTTATACTTTGCATAAACTAGAAAATAATAGTGGCCGACCCCGTTGGTACAGGATAAAGGCAAGCATGACGATGATTCATGACTTGGCATAAAAGGAAGCTGATAAGCAGAGTAGTTGAATATGTCATTGAGAAGTATATCTCAACCAGAAACAATTATGATACCTTATCTGGATTTTCAGATAAATTCTTTCCTATAGAAAGGAATGTGGTAGGCTAAGCTTCCCAAGGTGGCATTATTTTGGGTGTTGGTGGCTTGACGCTTCACAGTTTGGTGTTATCGTTTCATTCCCAGATGATGCTGCAAATGCAAGAACAACGGAGAGTTGGTCAGCCATCTTATCCATTATGATGTGGCTGGATTTTCAGATAAATTCTTTCCTATGGAAAGGAATATGGTAGGCTAAGCTTCCCAAGGTGGAATTATTTTGGGTGTTGGTGGCTTGACGCTTCACAGTTTGGTGTTATCGTTTCATTCCCAAATGGTGCTGCAAATGCAAGAACAACATAGAGTCGGTCGGCCATCTTATCCATCATAGGCTACTTTTTGGGTAATGAGGGTCTTCCCCCAATCAGTGACTCAGCTATCTCATAGTTGAAGAGGGAGTTATCAGAGGAATCCAACGGGTGTGGCCCCAATATGCATAAATTGGTTTCTTTGGGGAGAACAGCATCAGAGTTACTGTGAAGGGATTGAAGAGTGGGTCCACAAGTTGAACGATTCTCAGGTTTGTTTTACAGTTGGATGACAGGGAGGATGAACCCCTAGATAATCAGTATTTGGAGTTTGCACATAATAAGGACTCTTTTGATTGTATGAGAGAAGTAAAATTAGGTTGTATATGGCACCAGTTCACGGGTTGCGCATCTCTTTAAGCAAATTTCAGTGAACACTCTTACTTGTCAAAAGCAGAGGTTTAATGGTTAAGACTCAATTGGGACAAAGTGGTGTGTCTTACCTATCAAAATACATACATTCATACGTGTGTGTGTGTGTGTGTGTGTGTGTGTGTGTGTGTGTGTGTTTTATAAATACAATCTTCTTGGCAGTAAAATCGCTTGAAAGTAGTATCCCCAACATAACAACTATTCTGTGTGACATTCGCATGATTTAGTCCCATGGAAATGTATTCCTATCAGGACTTCAGAACAAAAAGACACTCTTAAGTTCTGCATCTACCAAATTATAGTACTTACCTCCTTTAAGACCACCATGAATATATATCCGAACACCAACAGATGCAGCCGCATGGCGACAACGACGCATAAGCTCCAAAGAAGGATCATGCTCGGTTTGTCCCTTACTCGTGCGTGAGGAAGTCACCAGCCCATTTCTATCTAACCAAACTCCAGCAGCAGTGTCCAATACTTCCAAAACAGAAATGCCACCAAAAAGATTAAGATTGAAAATTTCCACATTGAATGTATTATAATTATCCTTCATATTAATGTACCGGACAACAAAACCCAAAATACCTGCGATAGCTGCTTCTCCTTCTACTGCCCGACCACCTCTAAGAGCACCTCCAGTTACATGCAATCGAGCACCAACAAATACCTGATAACCAGCAATGTTAAGATCATCAGGACTAGGGGGGAAAAAAGAAGAAGATAGAAGTAAACAGATCCATAAATTATGCCAGTAGCGATCCGCCGATTCCATAACCGAAGACCACCAGATCTTTTCAAAAATAAATATGAACTTCAAAAATCAATAGAAAATTCCTACCAACACAAAAGGGAGGGTGAGGGGGGAGTTGAGTAATTAAAGGTTCATTAGATATGGGCTCCTGTTCTACAGCTACCACTTACCGCAGCATGTTGATACCTTGAAGAAGGAGACACGCCGGGTGCAAGAGTCCACTCCCACTGACCATTTCTATGCATGAGCAGCCCATAAGCATCTGCCAATGGCTGGAGATGCAAACGTACAACCAATAATAGTGTTAGACAGCTAAACAATACTGAATGTTCCTCTATATAAGATCCAACTCAGAGGACAAAAGTATCTAGAAAGTATTTCAGCTCAGGAAAGAAGATAAGGTCTTTGAACAGTATTTGATTGCTTTAAGGAATGATTATTACTAATCATTAGTTTGGACCATTTTGTTATTCATTTTTTAATAGTTAGCAACACTCGAAGTTGATTATACAAACATACTGGAAACTAATTGTCAATTTGCATGGGCTTTATAGTTGAACCTTTTAGTCACAAAGAAGTAATAACTAAAACCTAACAAAATTGATCTTGAAAGAATTAAATCAAGCACCAACAAATACCTGATAACCAGCAATGCTAAGATCATCACAATTAGACGGGGAAAAGGAAAAGGATAAAAGTAAAAAGGTCTATAAATGATTCTATTAGCAATACAATGCCATAACCGAAGACCACCAACTCATTTAAAAAATTATTGGAAATTTTTGACACGCATCAAAGAGAGGCTTGGGGAATCGATTGTAGATACGCCTATGCCTAATTGTCAATTTAAATGGCTTTATAGTTAAACCTCATAACAATGTAATAACTAAACCTAACTAAAATCAATCTTCTTCTTTATTATTATTATTGTTGTTGTTGTTGTTGTTGTTGTTATTAACTAATCCAACTAAAATCAATCTTGCAACGATTTAATCCCAACTTCATGTTGGTCACAGAAAATCCTTCTTTGCCATTAAAATCCATCAAGATCCATACCCTCCACTTATTCACATGCCATAAAGTCTTCACTCAGGCCCTCCTTTTTTTCTTCCTCTTGTACTCGCATTACCCTCCACTTGAAATCCAGTCACTTCTTACCAGTGCATTACCACGGGACTGCTTCCTATCCATGCTAACAAGTTAATCCATTCCTTGGGGGAAAAACAAGTAAAATAAAACAGGGAGAAGATTTGTCAATGTACAATGTTCAGATTTTCAGATAGATAATTAATCCAAGACAATCTTGATAGACTTCTTTTTTTTTCCTAGTTGGTACTCACACACACCCCCTCCAAAGAATTGTTTGCAACTAGCAGGAATCGATCCCGAGACTTGATGCTTCATGAGGCACCAGGGCCCAAGTCTTTTCCAAAGAATCTTGATAGACTTCTTGCTATTGGCAAACCTGTATAAGATAAAGTCTCAACTACAATTGTGGTAGTACCTCACATGCTAAGGGTATTCATTTCCACGTCAAGCTCAAACCTGAGCTTACTCGTAATAACAGTTCCTCAAAATGATGAATCCTTTGTGAACGGACATGTTTGAAAAGGGATTTGCATCTTTGAGGAAGTCCAAAAATCAGCATTTCAAAATTTTGAGCATAAGGGAGACATGAAAAGGGTCATCTAACTTTCAACAAGAAAAATTTGAATCTCAAAACTATTTAAATTATGAAAAAATATTTTTAAAAATTTTGGGCTGTTTGATTCCTTGGGGTTTTACCCTAAGAAGTCAAAAGGTAGTGATAGTGACTCTACCACTACCTAATCTTTTTATTTGTCAGCTAAACTCCCTTCATCTCAAATTCAAGGGCCTTTTTTAATTAATTAATTACAAGCCCTTCTCCTTTTATAGCATTTATTATCCAATGAAGTCAGGTTGAGAGGTATCACATTACATTTAACCATCAATGAATTCAGCAACAACAACAACAAAACAAGGGTGGCTTTGTATATTTCACCTACAGAGCCATGATAACAGAATATTACAATATGGTGACTCAGTAAGAAGTGAGAACATACATATAAACGCTTTCACATTTTCGCCAAAAGCAAACTAAGGAACTAGATATAACATTATTATACAGTAGGCCTTCATGTCATGCAATATATTAACTAGTTGATAGTTTAAGCCTCCACAAAAAAGATAGACTATACCGTGCCTGAGGAGTCTCTTCCACCGCAAAGCAAAAACATGCCATCCGAACGGGAGCTAGCTGTTGCATACCTACAACAGAAGATGTAAAATTAGAATATGCATTGTTTAAAGTTAAGATGTAAAACTGCAACCATAACATAGCGAAGAAGTTGATTCTAGATTGAAGTGCCAATAATCAGGGGTATTGTTAAGTATATCCAGTTGTCGTCCCATTGTATTTAGTTTATTGCCACCAGCTGTTTTAAATCAACTAGTAACTCTTGCCACCCTCATAAAAGAAAGGTAACATGCCATCCGAAAATGGGTGAGCGTGTTGCCGTATCAAAAGGGCAAAAAAAAACTTAAATTTTATCATGGATCAAGTTGTATATATATTTGTTTTTTCACGTATCATATTCTATTATGTATCGTTAGATACAATGAGTTTTAAAATTAATTTGTAAAATTAAAAGCAAAAATATTAAATAAGTAGGAATTAATGCCACAAGAGAAAATGATTTACATGATACCTAAAGGTGCCGCATATTCATGTCATATTTTACGAGCTCTATTTTTTTTTTTTCCCCTTTTTAGCGTATGTAAATATATAACTTTGGAACATTAAGTTCCATTCATTTGCATTGATTAATGAAAAAGGCGGACAAAATAAACTTCAAAGATTAATTGGTCCCAATGGTTCACTTCAAAAACCCAAAAATGAGGGTTAGAGTTGCAGAAATTCTGTTATGCACTACTCAAAAAACAATGCTTGTTGGGTTTGATGCGTTACCACATTATTCATACTCCCTAACTTACAAATTCCTGGTATGTAATTTTTTTTTCCTAAAAGCACATAACCCCCATATCCTTCCAAGACTGAGAAAAGTAATTAATAATTATATTCCAACTAATCTTTAGGCCAAAGACATATGGATTTAAATAATTAAAGTTACAGATAGATTTTTGTAAAGGAGGCAAAAGAGAGCAAAATTAAATGCCATCTTAATCTTAATGCACCTTTAAAACAATATTTTGATCTTTTAACAAAGTCTACATGATTTTTCAAAAAGAAAGCCAAGAGCAATCCAAGTTTGCACATACATGTATCATATATGGTGTGTCGCACGTGCATCATAAAGTATAGACGGGATGAGATTTGCATTAGGGATACATATCACTTTACCTCTAGAACATATTGAGTCATGCTTATCGTATTCCGTATTGTAATGCAACACTAACAACTATGAGCATAAATCCAACACAAATCACAGCAATCTGCAACTGAGTGATTGTGTACTAATTCTCTAAAGATGAGGCTAGGGTTAGTGACTGCACAAAACATGGGCAACAACAAATCTCCACAAGGAAAGAAATAGAAATTTTGAAAAAGAAGATAATGAGAAAAGCAAGTGAAAAAAAAAAAAATAAAATAAAAATAAAAATAGGTAAGTCAGTGACCACGCTAATTGGGCAGAAGGAGGATGTTGCGCAAGGAAAAACTCAAAAATCCAAAAATATAAAACTACATAGGTCCATTCCTCGTCCACTGGTTTGGAAGAAAAATGACAGTCTACAACAAAATCATAAGGAAACAGCAAGTTGGTGACTCAACTCAAAGTAACCATATTCTTCATTGATGTCCCGTATATAACTTAGCTACCACGAAACTATTCATTCCCAAGAATGACTCCTCAAATAATCTTTATTTAAAATGCACTACCCCTTCTGGGTGCTCGTTCATGCAATTTTCAACTTTGCCTTGGCCCTTCAGAAGCTGACTAAGATTAACAAGAAATGAGCTTCCCAAGACAACACTATGGCTCTGTTTCAAATAAATGTCAAGGAAATTTTCTTTTCTAGACATCACGTGCATAAATACTACTAAAATATAGACAGTTAACACTGTATAGTAGAACAGTTCTAAAAGCAGTGGACCTCCTTCCATTAAATCGCAACAAAGTTGTAACACTTAAATTGAAATGACACACTACCCACACCATTCACCAGTCCCTAAGACCAAGTTTACAATTTTGAAAAAAATAATATTTACTCACATTCTAGCAGAAGGTCTATCACCTTCTGGATTAAGCCTCTGCCATACATATGGTTTTTGAGCAGTATCCAAAACCCAAGCATCTGACAGCACCCTTTTCCCTACGGAAGAAAATAAATTTCTGTTAAGAGTGTTAAAATATCATATAAAACACACGAACAAACTTTTCTTTTGCAGTACAATAAACACGCGCATGCGCGCAAACACACACTATCAGCAATGCTAGGCCAATAGAAGCGGAAAAGTAGCTGGCATAAGCTTTAATTTACTCGAAGTTACCTTCAATCACAAACATGTATTGGGAATAAAAGTAATAAGAAACTAAGATATGGTTTTATGACTTAAGACAGGAATGCAAACCCCAATCAAATGACCTGGGACGGAGGCAGTTAAGGACCGGGGGGGCACGTGCCCCTCCTGGATTTTCTCCCTCTCTTATATTCTATATATATTTTTAATAAAATATATGTTTTTTAATGAAAATATGGAAAGTGCCCCCCCCTGAATTTTCTCATTCTTCATAAATTCTATATATGTTTCATATTTTTTTCTGCTAAATTGTTTCCTTAATACTTATATTATATATTTGTAAATTAATTTAATTCCAAAAATATCACTATCTCTTTCTACATATATATATATATATATATATATATATATATATATATATATATATATATACACACACACTTATATGCATATACATTATATTGTAAATATATGTTACGGTATACCATACTTATAATGTGCCCCCCACTGCATATGGCCTTCCTAGCTTCTTGTTTTCTCTTCCCTAAATAACAAACTTGTGTACTGTTACTCTTGGTTGCTTGAGGTTAAATTGCATGACCAAGAAGATAGCTTCTTTTTTTTACCAATTTACCCCCCTAAGCCATCAAGAATAGCAGGCCAAACTTCACGAGAGGATCATCTGCTGATAACAATTGTCCTCCAAGGAGTTTGTTACTTAAAATCTTATAAAGTTGGTTAGTTGAAGTAGTAATATTATCCAAAACCAGAGTTGTTGTCAACTTATTTATAAGATCACATTTAGCTATAATAGGTGAGACCTGTACAAGATAAATATAAAATCCTATAGCAAGATTGGCCTTCGTTCCTCTTCCTCCATATCTAGCTAGGGAAATTGTGCAAGCTCACTCTTCCTTGAAGTTGAACCACATAGGGTAGAGGTCTTGTGGTCACCAATTCATGTCAATGGTTTATTACAGGCACTACTTCTACCAGCAACAGGCTGTTGGAATTATGATCAATTTACAGAAAATTCGTGTCAGGTAGATGGCTGGTCATAAAACAACCCAGACCTTGATGGATCATAAATTGATCCATGAAATCAACCCCCAAATTGTCTGAAATTAAGGCTTGGTGATTCTGGCGATATATATAAATTGAAATATTTTCTTCCGATACATTCAGTACTAAGAGCTATCAATAATTTCATATGCAATTAACTACACATCTTGCCCCATTAAGACCCAGAAAAATGACTCACGGTTAATCGCACAGAGATACGATGATGATTCAACCTGTCATTTCACATTCTCTGTGCAAACTATGGGTATGTCATATCAAACCTAAGTTGTGTCTTGTAATCCTTTTAGTCGGAACATAATACATATAAACTAGAAACACACCCAACTATGGGCATTGGGCTTTCTGGAGGACTATAAAAGTAATTCTGCGGTACAACATTATCAAACAACTGATACACTTGAAGTTAAGCTTCTGCCTGCACAGTTACTCATTTTTCTGACAGCATCACTTATAGCATCTTTCAGTTAAAAAAATGGCAAATAATAAATACATCCAAGTGATAAATTTAATATAGAAGGATAAATCGTCTTACCGTCATAGCCACTGACAGTAACAAGGTATCTTTGGGCAACCAAATCCATTACATGGCCATATCGAGGTCCTAGACCTTGTCCCTGGACAACAACTCTACACCACAAAATACATTAACCTTGTCAAAATTTAATAAACCAAAATGGGAGAAAAACACATCAACTTTATTTTAAGAAGCTTACCTGTGCCACTTGAATTTGTCATTTGCCATGTCAAGAACGTAAAGATCATCAGTTGAATGCCCAGCAGGACCTATGCCACCCTAACAATATGCATCAATAATCAAAATTAAATTTTTTTATATATATAATAAAAATAAAAATAAAAAACATACACACAACACAAGGTAAAAAAAATTAGGAGATCAATCTTTCCTCGTAATCACCTGAAAGACAACCATTGTGCCAACTGCAGCTGCCGCATGGGCAGCCCTAGGAGAAGGTGGCTCGCCGGCTGGTCGGATTCTATTAATAAATAAGGAAAGAAAAAACAGAAATATTTATAATTAAAATTCAATTTAAATATATATGTGTGTATGTGTATATATATATATATCTCCAAGTATGATACACATACCTGGTCCATTTCCTTGTGAGAATATCATAAGAATGAACAGAATTCGTCACTCCCGCTAACCCTAAGACCAAATCAACAAATAATTCAGCAATTCCAAGTTGAAGTAACCACACAAACTCTCTCTCACACACATCCACAGAGAGAGAGACAGGAAAAAAGGAAAGAACTATAAAAGAAGAGAAAATATACTGATTCCGGACGCGCCTCCCTCGATGGCGGTGGCGCCGCCGAAGAGGATGAGGCGGGGGCCGTGATTTTTAGTGGCGGCGACGGCGGTGAGAGTGTGGGCGCAACGGGGACCAGGAGCGTCTTCATCGGTGTCCCAGTAGGTCTCCAAGGAGGTATAGTTCGGAGCCGGATGCAACCACGGCTTCGAACCCATCAACACCCACAATTGAGATCGAACCAGTACAGAACAGAACAACAACCTCTGCTGCTGTCAGTGTACAAGAAGAAGAAGATGACGAAAATGGAAGAACCCTAGAGGGCAGGTGATGTGGATCCGAGCCCCCGGGTGGGGGTGGGGTTGGTGGTGGTGGACGGTGGGGCCTGGGCTCGGCCGAGGGTGCCACGGACCCCTGTATCTCTCCTTTTACCACTTAACTTTGTTTGTTGGCTCTTTTTGTTTTGTATTTTTTTTGTTTGTTGGCTCCCAGAAAAATATGATGAACAGAGAGAATGTGATGATTTTATTTTCTTTAATGTTGAGGGAACCTGAGTCAACTATTTACCCTGTTGCGGACTTTGACAAAGAAGCGAGCAGGACTCAGACGCCATTGACAGACAGACAGACACTGTCAAAGTAACATGGTCTTAAGATCTAACGCCTTGCACAAGTTTTTGGGGGCCTGAAGTAGTCTCCTTTTAGTCACAAGAAAGAAAAAGAAAAGTAAAAGCCTCTTTCTCGCACGTATAGTCCATGTCTTCTTTTGCATTATTTTTTTCTTTAAACAGCCGGCACACTAAAAAAACAAAGTTTGGGTAAAGTACAGTTACACCCTTTAAGATTTGATAAAAAGACACTCAAGTAAAACTTATCTATTTTTTTAGACAAAGACACTGCCTGAAGGTTCAAAAATGAACAAAAACACCCATTTACATGAAAAATTGACCAAATTACCCTTTGACCATTTATGAGACTTTTTTAACTTTACAATTTAATAAATTGGACCAATCTACCCTTATGAACAATTTATACATAAAAAAAAAGTAACAATTTTTTTTTTTTTTTTGTTATTTACTCCCAATTTCTTAAAAATGTAGAAGTCTAAAATGATTTTTTGATCCAATACATATATTTCAAATAAATTATATTTTGTTATTACTTTTTTTTTTTCCTTTTTTTTTTAAATTAAGATGCTTAATTCTTTCATTTAAAAAAATTAAACTAATCTCTTTTCCTTAAAAATAAAAAATATGATACCAGTATAACTTTATGCATCTTAAATTATATATCAAATATTATGCATTTCTCAACATAAAAAGGAAAAAAATAATAATAATAAAACAAAAGGGAAAAAAAAAAAACAAAGGCATGCATAAAGTTAAGATGCATAAAGTGATATTGGTACCTATTTTTTTATATTGGAAAATGCGTAATATTTGATATATAATTTAATATGCATAAAATTATACTGGTACTATATTTTTTATTTTTAAGGAAAAGAGATTGATTTAATTTTTTTAGATGAAAGAATTAAGTATCTTAATTTTAAAATAAAAGAAGTAATAACAAAATATAATTTATTTGAAATATATGTATTGTATCAAAAAATCATTTTAGACGTCTATATTTTTAAGAAGTTGAGACATTTAAAAAAAAAATAAAAAAATTTGAACAATATAATTTTTTTTTTTTTTTACTTTTTTTTTAATACATAAATTATTCATGAGGGTAGATTGGTCCAATTTATTAAATTGTAAAGTTAAAAACGTCTCATAAACAGTCAAAGGGTAATTTGGTCAAATTTTCATGTAAATGGGTGTTTTTGTCCATTTTTGAACCTTCAGGTGGTCTCTTTGTTCAAAAAACAAGTAAGTTTCATTTGACTGTCCTTTTATCAAACCTCAGGGGGTGTGACTGTACTTTACCTAAAAAGTTTTTAATATCTTGGTCCTATTACGTAATAACGTATTTGAGAATTGTTGAATATTGGGACAAATTAAGAATTATTAAGATAATTTGAGAATGATTTTGAAAATAAAATAAACAAAGTTGTTGCTTCTTACACCCTCGTTAATCACCGAGGAAAAAAAAAAATGGTCTATTTTAGTGACAAATAAAGGAAGATAAACCCTTCTTAGCCTTCTATGTAGATATTTCATTGATGAGATCGTTGATTCAACCTTCTTTTTCTAACCATAAACAGTGGCGTAGCCAAATAGGGAACTTTTATGGAGTAATTTTTTTTAATTTTATACGAATTTTTTTTTATATTTGTATAATTATTTCCTCTAAAATTTAATACTGCACATATATATATATATATATATATATTATATGAATAGTGATACTCATACCAAACACTTGCAGTGAATTGTCTAATCGAATAATTTTTAATTGATTATTTATATCAAATACATCTAAATAGAGAGCTTCACTTTTTTATTTGTTGCATAATTGACCAATTAAAAAAGTAGGTCTAATAATACAATGTAACTATTCGGTGCAAGAATCATTTTCCATATTACATATAGAACGATACTTAAGTCATCACTAGCGAGGACTTGCACCATCCTTACTAGTGATGTGGAGATATCTGTGATTTGGTAAGTAGGTATTTACCCACCATATTAAATTTAACAATTAAAGATAACATGTCTATTTATTATTGGTCCACATCACTAGTGAGGATGGTGTAGATCCTCACTAGTGAGAACCTAAATATTGCTCTTATATATATAAGCAAAAGCCCATTCACGATTTTACAAAATATTGCTTTCTCACAAAATATGATATTTTTTTCCACTTTTACAAAATATTATATTCTTTCCCACTTTTTCAAAAAAAAAAAAAATACATTTCATCAATTTTGTTGTTCTTTCAAAATTTAATTTGTGTAATTGTGTTATTAATTACTATTCTCTAAATAAGGCTTAGAATTTTTTTTTATTTGCTTCCCAAATCACAAATTTACTTACTTTATCAAATTTTTCGATGGATTGGATTATGTGGTTATATTAGTTATCTTCGTATCTTGCTTTTTATTTATATATTTATTTTTTAATATGAATGAATTATTATTAGTAGTACATTGATAGTCTGACATAGTTATTAAGAGGACAGTTGTGAATGTATTGAATAGATATATTATGAATCAATGTTTTAATTTAGGCTAATTACAAAAAATCTCCATTTACTATTACCCAGTTGCGAAAAACCCCCCTTATTAATATTTTTGGCAAAAAATTCCCCTCAACTATCCCAAAGGGTGTTTTTAACTAACGTCCATTTAAGTGGTTTGTCTAATGGAATTTTTTGAACGAAATTACCCCTTAATAGATTATTCTTCAGATACTTTATTTATTTTTTCGCTTCTCTCTCCGCATCAAGCAAGCCTTCTCATTCCTTCAAACACAAAGCTAACAGCGAAAAACCCAATTATGGGATCAAAACAATTTTCGAGTAATAGGTGGTGGAATCAAAACAAAATATAATGAGATGATAAATGCATTTCTCTCAAAATAAATTACTTAAATATCCTTTATAATTAGATTATTGTAAATTGAATAAAATGCAACGATGTCCTTTCACATTAAAAAGAAATTATGTTACATTTTTTAATTGCCAATTTTAGTCCAACTTACCTTGCTGTAGCATAATTCAATTAAGGAAAATAAAGAAATTGAACTAAGGAAACATGACAAATTATTAATTATTTTCCTTAAAATAATTAACTATTATAATGGCCGCCAAAGATACGAAACATGACAAATTATTAATTATTTTCCTTAAAATAATTAACTATTATAATGGTTGATAAAGATCAAGTGCACGCCTTCTCTCTCCTGTGTGGTTGTATTTAATTTAATTTTATTTTATTTTATTAATTACACATAGCTTAAATATGATTTTATTGGCTTTCCATTTTTTATTTTTTTTGAGAATTTTTTTTTGCTGCTTCACATACCTTGCTTAACTGAAACAGAGAAAATAAATAAATAAATAAATTGCCAGAAGAATAATCTTTTAAGGGGATAATTTCATCCGGAAAATGATCTCAAACAATCACTTAAACGGATCTCAGTTAAAAACATCCTTTAGGATAGGGGAGTTTTTCGCAACTGACAAATAGTTAAAGGGAATTTTTTGCAATTTGCCCTTTTAATATATATATATATATATATGGTAGACAAGAAACAATAATTACCTGACTTAATGTAATTGGTGGATATGGTTTGAACTACCTAATACTCTATAATTTCTCAATATTCTTGAGCTCAACTTGATCAAATTGGTGCTGGGCAACAAAAACTCATTCTCAAACTTGAGCTTGAAATCAATGTTAAAAAAAGAAAAAGAAAAAAAAAAAAACACTTACATATTACAATGATTGACCACATTCAAGCTACAAGCTTCATTCCTGGATCTGTCCCAAAGCACGAAGGTATTAAAAATGAAGCTAGAAATTCGTTTGGTTATGACATGGACAAGTTTGAGTTTAAGCTGTTTGTCAACGGCTGCTCTCATTTGGCAAAACCATTACATTATCTTCTTTTCTGTCTGTACTACAATAAATCATACACGTTCAATCAATATTTAACCCCACAAACATGACGATACTGTGTACTAACTATGCATTGTCACGTACAGTTGTTGTCTGGACTCTGGCCCCAGGTCTACACCTTCCGGTACCCAGCCCATGCAGGTGGTCACCCCTATGGTGCCAAACAATGCTGGAAAGACATGTAGATTGTAAGATTAACATATTACCATCCAGCAAAAATCGCACTGTTATTGTTATTTCATAATAGATCATACTATATATTATTTCAAAATTTTGTTTTTTACCTGTACTTGCCCGATTGATATATCCATGCTCCCCGGTTTAACTAATTTGATGTTCTGAATATTCCCACTTCCAAAATTCAGAATCTTTTCTAGCCTGAAAAAAGTCAACTCCGATACATTGTTTTTACAGGGATAATATTAGATGAGAAAGGAAATCCATCTTAGCCATACCTATCTATAATTTTAAAATAAAAAGAATCTAACCGGTTTGAGAGTTCATCAGGGGCAAGGGTTTGGAAACCTTGAATGGACCTTGTCAACATCCGCAATTATTTCAGGATTGAGCTTGACTTCACATGCATTGATGACTTGTTGGAGCTGCCACAACTTTGTTGCCCCAAAAACAGCACTGGCGACAAGAGGGTGTCTCAAAACAAATGCTGCCCAAAGGAACCAAAAGTGAGAATGGGAGGAAGAACTAGCAGAGAAGGTATAAATATACAAAACTTGTTAATGGATCAATAGCCTCGAACAAGTCATGAACCACACCCACAGACAATCACATATCCAAGACATTAAGAAACTTACGGGTAGATTCAGTCAGGCAACAAATAACATTCCTGCCTCTCATCTCATTCATCATTCAAAAACAAGCCATCAAAGCTAATTTAGCTAATTTTTTATTTGGTATTGGTTTCAATTTATAGGTGGAGTGTTGAGATTTCAAGTATACAAACATTAGAGAAGCCAATTTTACCAGCACACTTTGGAACATATACTTGCCCAGAAATAATAAGATTCTATTGAAGTGGAAAAGGTGAATAGCAGTTTGATAGAATCACATTTTCCAAATTCCTAAAACCACAAGGTGTCCACCTATGAATCAATCAAGGAAGAAACCCAAAAAAATAAATGCAAAAATTAAACAGATGGAAGAGCCACAAAACGGCATCCAAAAATTAAACAGATGGCTGAGCCAAAGAGGGCAAGACATTGATGCAATGCAATTTATAAATTTTACATTGAAATAAACTAAACTACAATGAAATTCAAAGAGAAAATTCCAAAAACTACATGATTGACCAATACAGATAGGTGTGTGGTCTTGCACTTCCACAGAAAGTGACCAAGAGAGACAAATCATCATACCAATTGCAATTGACACAGGATGAACACCATATTTTCTTGCGATGTCAAGGTATCCCTGCAAAAGATTAGGTTAAGCATGCATCAGTATCAAATGGAACTAAAAGAGTCCTGCCCATGACGAAAATTAGAAGCTAAGAGCCTGAAGAATTCCTCAACAAGAAACCTCTTTATTATTACAACGTTAGCTTTTGTAAGCCCCTCCAATCAACTAAACCCAACAATGAGGCTACATATCCATGAGAGAGAGAGAGAGAGAGAGAGAGAGAGAGTATAAAATGCCTAAGGGCATGTTTGTTAAAGTTTTTGGAAAAATAGTTTCCAAGAATTCTGATACCAGCAAACAGTTTTCAGATAACCTTAGAAGACCGCTCTCTGAGTTTGTAACTTCTTTGAACTTTGTTTCTTGTTTCAAAAACTGTCAACCAAATAAATTTCGATTTGAAAACTAAAATCTACTCGGACGACTGAACCATTACAGGCCTTAAATAATTTTTTATTTTCAAATAACAAGCTAAGAGGTATACCATTAAAAGGTTCAGGTTATACATATACAATGAAGAGTATTTTATAGAACAGTTATTAGGTGAGGAGGAAATGAGGATGTTAAAATGGATGATAGGAGTGACTAGAAAAGATAGGGTTACAAACCAAAATGTGAGGGCGAAATTAGGTCGTATAGACACATACATAAAAGATCTGTAGATGCACCGATGAGAAGAGGAAAGTTAATTTTCTTAGAGGGTAGGTAGGAGGCAGAGAGGGCGCCTGAAATTAACATGGGATGAAATCATTAGAAATGATTTTAAAAAGTTAAATATTAGAGGAGAGATGGCTTGTAATAGAATAGGATGGAAAAAGAGAATTCATATCCAAAAAATACCATATCCAAATCAACTTTCCCGAGTGTAAGAGGATGATACATATCCAAAAAAGACCACAGTTCTAACACTCGGGAAAACACCAGCAGGAGTAAGCATTTTTCTTTCCCAGTAAAACTAATTCAAATTTTTCAAAATACATTTTTCCAATGTTGATGAACATCAAAAAATTAACAATTTTGAAGATTAGCATTGTCTTTTGTATTTGTATCAAAAACAGTCTTTCAAAACTATACTACTTATATTCAATAATGAAAACTAATTGCATACTTTGGCGGCATCTCTAATTGTGGTGTTGGACAGATTGTATCTTGATTCCCCTTCCGAATACCTTCCTGGGCAAAAGAAATGAAACAAATTAGACATTAAAGAAATTTATCAGTACTTGCTGATTTTTGTTAAGGATAGATTTGCCAGTAGATTGCATGATTCGGGCAACTTAACAATTCAACCTTTAAAAAGATTCAAACGAGCATCTGCTGGACCACCATCAGGTGAGAAATACTTTCCAGAAAGCATGCCCATTGCCAGAGGGCTATAGGCCAATAAACTTATCCTAAAAAATGTCAAAAATGAGAGATCAAAGATACGAAGTGAAAATCAAGATAAATTTTCTCGATAAGGAAATCCAGAAGATAAAATTAAATATGCAATACAACAGCAAGACCAATCGAGCAAACAAGTCGGATTTAAGGGGCTATCTTGTCTTGAAACAAAGTTGCAACAACAACAAAACCTTCCTCCATATATGCATCTCCTAATTTCTCGGTTGGAAGTACAATCCTGTTCCCTACCTTCTCCTTGCTCAAACCACCAATTTCCATATAAAACTAAAACTCCATTTCATCAACATTTTTATGCTATTAAGTGCCAGTTCAGGAAGCAAACTGGATATTTTTTAAAATGAATTTTGGACGGAAAGGTGTAATTAAAATAAAATGAAAATGAAAATCATGTAATCATATATTGCAATAAAGCCACTTAAGCCAGACAGTTCAAATCCTCTTGCTGGAATTCAAACGACTAAAATCTAAAACTAATTTCAATTCCCAGTTCAATAAAGGATTACCATCCAAGGGTTGTAGCCTACTGGCACTTCCTCAACAGCCAAAGTAGAAGGTCGAGGGTTCAAGTTCACATAGGGGCAAAGTAGGCAAGTCTTGACTAGGAAAAAATGAAGGATTACCAAAACATTGGAAAAATAAGGAGATTGAGAAAGGTTATAGTTTCCCCTTTCCTTGTGTCATTGTCTTCCTTGTTTGTTCATTTAGGAATGACAATGAAGTTCTCCAATGCACACCTAGAAATTATCAGAAGCTACTGACTAGATTTACTTATCCCCTAATTTATGTATAATCCCCAAATCTGTTAACAGTAGTACCTTGTAAAGCGTGATAAAGATGTTTGAGAAAGTAAATTTGCTAGCATGAACATGAAACCACTGAACTAACACTTTAACCACTTCCAATGCTAACACTGCAGAAGCATAGAGCACAATACTAGAGACAAGGCATGTCAAAAAGCACTTAAGGTGCCAGATTTTTGTTTCAAGTCCACAATAGAAGGATAGATCTCTCATGGATGCAACCAACCAAAAAAGCAGACTACAGAGGAACACATCATAAATGTTATGAGGAAAAGAATTATCTATAAAATGTGTTTGGAACTATATCTGTGAGAACCAATTACAGCTCCAAAGAATCAAATATCATGATAGACAAAATTTAATGACCATATGCTTCCAACGACGACTTTTTTCTTATTGAAAATTTATTTTTTGTTACTTAAAAGTCTTTTTCACAACAGTAAATAATCAGCATGATATCACTCACTATCTGTTTCCAATCATAAATTGTTAGAAAGACCACAAGTAGATACAATATTTTTTTTAACCTCATTCTGAACAAATTTGAGTGAAAAATAACAAATTAGTTCTACATAATTGGTTCTGTAAAAAATCAAAAATCTATATAGCATAATGATCTGTAGAGACCAGAACTTTTTTATTCAACGTATTTCAAAAAGTGACATTCAAGCAAATTCTTCTCTATCATTTCACACAGATAAAGTTGAGTTGATGCACCATTAATGATAAATAAGATATGGAGTACCTCTCGTGGTGACAGCACTCAGCCATTCCAGAGTCAAATTTTCGGCAAAGCAAGCTGTATGAGTTCTAGACAATAAAAAAATGAATGATTCTAGAACAAAGATAATGACTTGAATTGTAAATTAGCCTCAGCATGACTGCATGAGTAGATATATGTGGATATATATATAGAGAGAGAGAGAGAGAAAGAGAGTATTTTGAGCAGAATTGACAGATAAATACCTGCACAGATACTATCTTTGGATATCCAGCACCACTTTCGGCAACCTGAAGAAACTTCATGATGCCATAAGGTGTTTCATTGCTGAGTCCAACATATCTGATCTAGAAACAATATCTCCCATTTTATAATCAACCAAAGTTCATGTTTAAGAAAGATTGACAACAGAAGCAAAACCCTTGATATCATCACTAACCTTACCAGCATCAATAGCTCTACCTAGAGCATGAAGTTGTTCCTCTATATGTACTGAACTGAATTGTCGGACAGGATGATATTCAGTTTCTCCAAACATGGGAACATAGCTACAAGAATACCCATTAACACTTCAGAAAGGGGAAAAAATTAGGGAGTGACGGACGAAAAATAGAATGTCTGAAAATAAAAGATAGGATTAGCATCCAAACCGGTCAGGCCAGTGAATTTGATAAAGGTCAATGAAGTCCGTTCGCATTCTGGACAAACTGCATCAGTTTAATTAAAAACCATTAGCAAATAATACGACTTCCACAAACTGTCATACGAAGTCTCATACATCTCTACCAACAACATAACTTCACATTATATAAATATAGCATCTCTGAATTCAGAAAAAAATAAAATAAATAAAATAAAATAAAAATTAACCATTAAGTGCCAAAGTATTAGCCAATAAAGAAATACAACAGTTACTGTGTCGTGGCAACATGTAATACATGTGAAGCATACATAAGGATAAAAAATTCAATGAGATTTAAAGGTTGAGGGTGGACAAATTAGATTCACTAGAAAGATCCATTAGAAGACAATTAAGTTTTAGCGATTACTTATTAAAAAAACGATTGCAAGTGACTGCTCAATGTCAGTGGTTGGTGGTGACTCATTACGACTTTGTGCAGTTCACACTTCTTAAAAAGACCACTCAAAAAGGTGTGAGCATAACAAACTTAAGGCTGACATACACTCAAAATCAACTGAGCGAAGGATGCAGCTAATAAGCAGTATTTTTCATCAGAGAACATATTAGATCCCAGAGCACATTTTAGTCTAATCAATGTGTCAGTAAATAAAGAGATAAACTTACTAATATACATATATTAGGAGGAAAATGAAGTTGACAATACTAGTTTATTAATTATAAACAAAACATAATGCAAGAACCGCATATTTAAATATAAAAGTTTGTTAGAAAAAATTAAGTTTTGTAAGAAGTTGGCTTAAAGAATTAGAATTACTCGACCCCTGTCTTGTTCTAAAAGAGAGATATGTCTATGTCCAGTAACTTATCTTGTGCAAATGGCTTGAACTGCCCCTAGAAAGACTCCAATCCACAAGATTAAAACTGAGCTGTGACTGTGAGGTGTCAATGAGAGCAAACTATGAAGTTCAAATGAAAAATAAAGTTTCAAAAGAAATACAATCATTTCAGTAAAACCGGAATTTGTTTCTTTATTTACTTTCAAGTTTGAAAGTTGAAAAAAAAAAAAAAAAAGCATCAATAATATCGAAATTTCAAAAATCATCTAAAATTGTAGAGAAGTATAAATTGGCATAAGGGTCAAACCTCAAACCAACTAAAATGCTGTAAATCTTAGCCATAATGTGGATTCAGGATTCTAAGAATTAGAACTAAAAACCATAGATAAAAATTTTGCAATTTAAATATGATTACACCAAACTGAAACCAGGTTGTTGGAAAAAGGCTTCGTGAGGGTTTAGTTAGTGAGTTCCTAATGCATTAATTTCTAGTGACCAAGGGTTTTGGAGCTCCTGATCTGCCAAGATTGTTTTTCACAAATATTTTGAGCCTGTTTGGACACTGCACTCCTGTAGCCAGTCCTCCTTTCCTTGATAATATAAAGAACTTCTAAACTGATTCAGTCTGTTTTAGAACAAAAATTGAAGATGGAACATCATGAGTTTTCCACAATGCTAACGAAAAGAAGAAAGGGAAGGGAAAAAAGGAAAAAGAAATTTGCTCAGGCACTTTCTGAACTTCGATTATGCAACAAAGTTTATAGGTTTGTGAACTTTGTGTATGAGAGTGTTCAGTGCCTCGGTACCATGATTTCACTTTTCCATTCGTTCATAAAAGACACATTACCATAAGTTCTAAACATTTAAAGCTGGTGTCTCTCAAAAGTGCTTCCAGCATTGTGCTTCACAGCATCTCCTCAAACACATTATGATATTTACTTGTACCAATATATCCAATACAATAAATAGAAGGCTTCAATATATTATGCTGAAGAAGTGACTGTGAAATGTACTAATGCAGAAGCAAAATCTGCACAGGCTCTACAATTACTCATATTGTCAGTGGTCTATGATGCTACGAATGAAAAAGTTCTAGTATTGTGCTTCGTAACTTTTATTCAGAAACTATATGATTCTACTAGTGCCCATAAAGCCAATACAACACATAATGTGGAAGGCTTCAGTATCCTGGGCTGAAAAAGAGTGTCAAACGAAATAAAAAAGGAATAAGTTCTCCATAGATTGTACAACTAATCAATTGTTTAAGACAAACCCTGTACTTTCAGTAGCTTCACAGTTCAATATAACCAGTCATAAGGCAGAAAACTGTCCCCAAAATATATGGATAATATTTCCCCCTAGTCAGTTATCAAGCAACTTTGTAAATCTCGTATGCATATAATTTCAGTGTTCTTACTGTCTTACCAAACAGACACGTATTAGAAATTGCAACACTAAAATATATATGAGTAGTGAACCAACCTACTGTCAATGGCCTCAGTGATATTCCTGGCATCCAGACACTTTGGCCCTCCTCGAATCCAGGTCATCTGTCCAGATGGCCCTGTCACCTGCATCAAACCATTTAAGATAATATTTCTTGTTTTAGATAGATAAAATTCAAAGTCTAAAGACATAACAAAGTTTCCTAATGACATTGACACCAAAAAGTAAAAATCAAAATTTAGTACCATTTTATGGTGGATTTGATGAATTGGTGGTCTGAAAGACAGAATTTGCATAATTTTAAAGGATTTAAAACATGATAAAGCCAGAAACGTCTCTCTTTATTTTGAAAAACTAAGGCATATTCCATCGACATATCTAAACAGCAGCTTTTATGTTGCCACACTAGGTAATGACCAACAAAACAGTCCTAAATCAACGACTATAGTATTTGAAGCTAAAATTATACATTGGGTCTCAATTAAGGCGCCTGTAATTTGTCCTGATACTAGTACCTGAAAGCAACTCCATAAATCAACAAAATTCAAGGACACCTCTCCGAGTCCTAAATCATAACTGATAACGTACAGAGAGATTCGCCATTGTGCCTAAGACCGACACAATCCCTATGTTCTTTTCCCAGATCCATGTCAAGCATTCAAGAACACCCACTGACCCATGGCAAGAATTCTAGAGCACCAATCTGATCCATGGCAAGAATTGTAGAGCACCAATCTGATCCATGGCAAGAATTCAAGAATAAAGAACACCTCTCCGACTCCTAACTCAACCAAAGACGAAACAAATAGGAGTAACTAATAGTGGCCAAGACAACGCAATCCCTATATCTTTTTTCTTCTGAACCATGCAAGAATTCTAAAACACCTCTAGTCCCAAATCAACGAAAGAGTAATGAAATAACAGATAATGTAGAGAGAGAGATTGACCTTTGTGGCCAAGACAACACGATCCCTGGGAATTTTTCTCTCTCTAACCCAACGGCCCAAGTAATCCTCGCTCCTCCCCTGGGTTTCCGCACGCTGAGGTACTGGATACCTGAGTCAAAAGAAGTAAAAATCAAAAGATATACAGACCGAAGGATTTAAAAAGGGATAAGAAAAAGATAGAAAGAGAATAATACATTTCGGCAGAATCGAAGAAGTTGATTCCAGCATCGAAGGCTTTGTCTAAAAGTTGAAAGGACTGGACCATAGAGTTCTGCTCACCAAAAGTCATGGTTCCTGTAAAAGAAAAAATCAAAGAAGGTTAGATGTTCGAATTCTTGGATTACAATGTCACTATTATTCCTAAATGGATATACAATATATGTGTGTGTATATGTGTGTGTGTATATATATATATAATATGTATGTATGAAACTATGAATTAAAGAGCAAAGAAGACAGATGAAACCGAGGCAGAGTTTTGAGACAGTTAAATCCGGAGCCAGATTGAAAAGGGGAACGGCCATTGGGAAACCTAGAAAAAATGGAAAGAGAGTTTATTGTTCTTGATTGGAGAACGGACTGCAATTTCAAGATTTTGTATCACAGCGAGAGCGGGAGAGGAACGAGAAAAAAGGAAAAAGTACCAAATATTGGGGATGAGAGGAACGTTTTTCAACAGTGAACGTTGATATAATGGAGATGCAGGGTATCGAACCCTGTACCTCTCGCATGCAAAGCGAGCGCTCTACCATTTGAGCTACATCCCCATATGCCGATAAAATACTGGAGTATTTTATTTAAAATTTTCAATCGAGGGAAACCCAAACCCACAATATATTGATACTTTGATACTAATATTACTTCCATTGTTGCATTTATATTTTTACACTAATAATCACGTAATAAAAAATGCAATCTATGCAGTTCCTTAATTTAAATGATTTAGGTTAGTGTGTTAAAATGTTGACAAGGAGCATAAAGAACCCTCACAACTTGAGCGTATAAACAACATAGCCACCAAATTTGAAATATGGCACTTGAATAATTGAATTTGAAGCTTAACACTTGCATCAAGGCAATAAAATTCCCACCACTGTGCATCAAGGCACTGAAATTAAAAATATAACAGTCCAACAGATGAAGATACTGTCCAAGTTTGATTTTGTATGAATAAATTACCTTACCCAGAATAATTCTCATAATATACAAATTAACAAAATAAGTTAACAATGTCTGAGTTGCAAGCATGTTAACATATCAACAATATATTTACAGAAAATAGTAATAATAATAACATTCACTATAAAATATAAATTTATAACTAAAAAAGAAAAAATATGTCAAGAGAAATTAATTATCATGCCTTAAAAATTTCTGTGATAACCACAATCAATGAAAGAGCACAATCAAATCAAGAGTGTTAATGCTCGCCAAATCTGTAAAACCAAATAACATTTAACAACCACTAATTCTTTGGAATAAATAAAATTGAAAACAGAAAATAACAAGCACAAGAGATGCTCAATCAATAGGAACAAACCGATCAGCAAAGAACTTAAAAGAGTGGAAACACATTAAAAAGCTGAATATTCAATCAAACGGTAACAATTCCATGCCATCAAATCTCCCACAGAAGTGAAACTCATAATTTGACCAAAAACCATATCATAACAGAAATTATTGTTTTCATTCCTCTCTATATCCAATCAAAATTACCCAATATCAGGGTTTACAAAGATCTAATACCACAAATAAATTGAAACCTTCAGACATTAGACTCTCCCACAACAGCAGAAACCCTAAAACTCTTGCGACAACAACAGAAACCCTAAAACTCTTGTGACGCAGATCCAATATCTGCCTTTCCTTTGCCGGTCTTGTGCGGTAAAAGATTCTGATGAATGTTGGGCAAAACACCACCATTCGCAATGGTAACAGTCCCCAAGAGCTTGCTCAACTCCTCATCATTTCTCACCGCAAGCTGTATGTGCCTTGGAACAATCCGATTCTTCTTGTTATCCCTTGCAGCATTCCCCGCAAGTTCAAGAACCTACAATTAAAAAATAAATAAAAAACTCAGATCAGAAAGAACACAGGAACAATCACAAACCCTTTTGGTTTCCTCACAAGTTCAAGGTATACAACATAAATTAAAACTTCAAATCTAATGCGCCGAATTTCATCAAAATCCGTTTCTAGGGTTTTACGTTTTAGTTGAAGAATTTGAGAACCTACAAAGACTAAGAGATTCTGGTTTCTTTCACTATTTTCTGCCCAACCAAACGGAAAACTATATTGGAGGAAAGAGAATAGATATATCACCTCAGCGGCTAGGTATTCAAGAACGGCGGAGAGGTAGACCGGAGCACCAGCACCTACTCGCTCCGCGTACTTGCCGGCTTTGAGGAAGCGGGCGATTCTGCCGACGGGGAATTGAAGACCGGCCTTCTGAGATCTGGAGACTGATTTGGAGGACTTGGGCTTGCCTCTCCCTCCTTTGGTTGAACCTGCCGAACTCATCGTCTGTGTGTATTTGCGATGTAAAAAAAGCCCTAAAGAACGAAACAGCTAATCTGCAAGGAACGAAGAGATTTGAAGGAGGTTTGGTTATTGTGAGATGAGAGAGGCGAAGAGGAATGGAGAGAATATATAGGGGTTGCGAATGGGAGTGCGGTGAAAACCTTTGTTCTGATTGGTGGACGGGGAAGGACACGGATTGCCAGCGTGGAGGGTTTAGGGTACGAAAGACGCTAAACCTGATGGCACCTTGAAGTCTAGAAGAAGATTAGAGAAAGTGGCTATTGAATGTGAATGACAAGGCCCAAACCCGCAAATCTCAGTATTAGGCCCAGACTTAGCCCATGCGGATTAGTGTTGGGCTGCAAATCGATATATTTATATAGATTAGTTCTAGATGAGTAGATCATATCACGAACCGCTCAGATTAGTCCGGTGAACGATGCAGTGGCTGCTCTCACTGAATTTTTCCTATTTTGCATTATTATTTATATTTTTTGTTAAAATCTTGAAAATGCCCCATCTCAATTGATAAAAATATCACATTTAACATTCTTACCCCCACTGATTTTTTTGAATCCAAAAGATAATCATCTCTTTTTTACTCTCTACTGCCGTCACATTCATAATTCTCTTTAACACACTTTGATATTCCTACTCAATTTTTAAAAATACCCACTATATATAATCTTGCAAAGTAATTATGAAAAAATATATATATTCTCGTAAAGTAAAGTAAATTGACTTTTTTGTGACTTAGGTGCTGTTTGATAAAATTGAAAATTAAAAGCTAAATTAAGCGTTGAAATTTTAAAGTATTAATTAAAAAATAAATTTTTTTAAAAATTTTCAACGTTTAGCATTCAGCATTTAGTGATAAGTGATATATTTGTCACTTAAAATTTTAATCCATTTTAAGTAGCGTTTTTCAATGATATTGCCCATTTTAAGTAACTCTCTTAGTGTTTTGAATGAAGTTAAAATTTGGAACTTTTAATAATACATCCTAAATAGAGATGAATATTGAAGATACAATATTCCATTTCATCTCTCTCACTCTCGTCATAGTCTATTTATAGGCCATGACCCTCTTTTGCAGTTAACCAATTACATTAGGCTTATAGCCGAAAGTTCTCTTCCTTCTGGGCTGGGTCTTGTAATGGGCTTGACCTTCCTCGGTGGACCCCCCACGTTCGGCCCATTCCAGGGTGCTTTGGCATGGATCCTTCTTCAATCATTCGACCCGATCTCGTTTCCGCGATCCATATCCCGCCCATGCCACTTGCCGCATCCTCAACTACCCCTATAATTACCCCTTATTGATTAGGGGGTAATTATTAGAGGCTACTAATGATGACCTGACGGCTCGAGGAGATCGTGTGGGAGAATGGACGGTTAGATCTAGGGGTCAGCCCTTCGAGATTCAAAAAGACAACCCATTGCTTTCCTGACTCCTCGGCTCTCGGGCTTATCTCGTCTTTATAAGCTCCATCAACTCTCCATCGATCCTCTTTACCGTCTCCATCTCACCTTTTGCTGCTTGAATCCTCTCCGGCGATCTCTTGCGAAAGATCTTCCTTCCAATGGCTTTGCAATACTTCTCTGCCGTTTTCACTCTCTAAGGTTAGTTTCATTTGCATTTTTCTTTTGGAAGACTTCTTTCTTCTCCCCGGAATCCTCATCCACTCACACCATGACAGTAGATCTAGACGTTCTTTGCATGAAACTTCAACTTCTTGATGATGTAGAAATTAGAAACTGCCCCCGGGAAGTGAATATTAGAACCGGTGCTGGCCTTCTTCCCGGCGAGGCCTTGTTTTCACTCCTCCATCTCAATCTCCTTAGATTTCCTCTACATCCTTTCTTTTGCTATGTTTTTAACAAGCTAAATCTTTCCCCTTTACAAGTAAACCCCAATTTCCTTAGGATTTTATCCGTTATGCTACTCCTGATTCGTGACAGAGGTCTAGATCTGGACCTCGTAAATCTCCTCCTCTGTTACAAGGTCAGCAAGATCAGAACTGACAAACCGTTTTACCACTTTTTCCCCATTGAGAAGAGGTCTATCTGCACGGATAAGATCAAATCTGAGAAGGGCTGGAGGAAAAACATTATTGGGGTTAGGGGAGCCTGGTTCTCTCCAGCTGCGGAGGGTTTCCCTATCCCGAGCGCTTTCGGAGAGTGCTCTGTCTCTTTTTACAAGAAATATAAAAACCATAAGAGTGACTGTCCTTGCGAGATCTGCATTCCTCGTTTTTGTTCTTTCTTGTGCCATTCCTTAGGCATTCCTTGTGATGACTTGAGCTACAGTGTGTGCAGGGATAGGGATAACTACTTGAAGCGGTACGTTCTGACCAACGTTCCCTCTTGCTCGGACCTTCTCACCTCAGATAATCTCCTCGACATCTCAGTCCTCGGCAAGACAATGAGCCAACTCCAGATCCCTTCCTTCGGTAGGAAGAAATCTGCCCCCAGGCCTGCTATCACTCCTGCATCAAACTCCTTATCGGCTTCAGCATCTTCCTCCGCTACTCTTTTTGACACCACTCATTCCACCGATCCATCCGCGACGGCTGCTGACTCGGTCGCTAACGTGGCGACTGCCAGCCGGAACGTTGCCCCCTCTGTCAACAATCCTCCTGGCTCTACTGCTGCTTCCGCACGGGAAAAGGCTAGAGGAAAAAGGCATCAACCTGACAGTGCTCTGAGCATGGATGACGTTCCCTTGTCTCAGAGGGTTAGGCCCTCTGGGCCGAATGTGATTTCCCTGGCGAGACCTCCTCAAGCTAGGCCCCCCACCCCTTCTGGGCAAGCCTCCGCTTCAGGAATGGCACCATGGAGCCCTCGCTTCATCCGAACAGACGGATCGTCTGTGAAACCGACCGAGACCATGTTCAAAGATGGTCAGACCGCGATGGCCTACTACAGGAATATGTGGACTCCCAAAGACATCGAGGTAGCCAAAGGTTTATCTCAGAGGGAGGTGTTCAGCCGATTCCCCTTGACCGCCATGGAGGTAACTTCTACCCCTTAGTCAATAAATCTTTACATACTCTTGCCATTTATTTTCTTCTAACCATCTGCTCGGCTTAACCAGTTGTCCTGTATATCTCTACAGACCTTGTACGGGATGATAGCTATGCAGAAGCAAGTTGAGCAGCTGAATGCTAAGGTCCGTGCGCTTTCTGACAGCCTTAGCGCAGTGAACAAGGAGAACGATAACTTAGCTGCTCAGAAGACCGAGTTGATGGTTCAACTTGGTAAAACTGAAAAAGAGAGGGATTCGCTAAGGAGGGAGACTGACTCTCTTCAGGATGAGCGGAATGCCCTGCAACTTGAAAAGAGCGTCTGGCAGACCGAACGGGAATCCCTTAGGGCCGAGAAAGAAGAACTGCTTCGCCTTCTGAATGACGAGCAATCCGCTCGGATGGCCTTTGAGAAGAGGGCCCTGGACGAGCGCAACGCTTTACTTGATACCATCAGCAGGGTAAATGGTGGTATGCTAGCTCTGCATGCTCGATTCTCTAGAGTTGGGACCCTCAGATATGCTCAGGGGTTCCGAGAGGGTTACGCCGATCGCATCCCTGATGAGGGTCAGACTAGCTCTACCCCTGATGATGTTGATAAGGATCTGGATGTTGATAAGGATCTGGATGTTGACCCTCCTGGTGTTTATATCGATCCAGACTCCACCGCTGTTGAGGGGATATTTGATGAATATCAGGAGATTGCGTCTTCTCGGATCACTCCTACTCCTCCTGCCGCTCTGGCTTTGGACATTCTTCCTGTGTCCACTTTAACTCCCTCTGCCGTTACTGCTGAAGATAACCCTCAGCAGAATGATTCTTCCAACGCTGCTGAGGGTAGGATTCAACAGAACGATTCTGTTATTCACCTTGACTCTCCACTTCGTGAGGATGGCGGCACCACCAACAATGAGGAGATAGCCCAACATCATCAAGAGGCCGACGAGGCAAACGCCTCTTAGTTAGGACCTCTCTTTTTTTTGTTTAAATGTACTGACTTTGGCATATGTGCCATCTTTACACCTCATTTTTTGTAACCTTCTGAAGATTATTAATGAGATGGCCGACTCCTGATCAAATTTTTTGTGTCAACTCTTTTTTTTTTTTTACAAGTGTTTGGTGTTCGGCTCATTGTGCCGATTGCCACTTACTTTGCTCAGGTGCCTGGCGTTTGGCTAGAATGCCATTTGCCACTTGGCCCTCTAATTTTCTTTAGCAAGTGTTTGGCGTTCGGCTCATAGTGCCAGCTGCCACTTATTTTGCTTAGGTGCCTGGCGCTCGGCTGGAATGCCTCTTGCCACTTGGCCTTTTATTTTTCTTAGTAAGTGTTTGGCGTTCAGCTCATAGTGCCAGCTGCCACTTACTTTGCTTAGGTGCCTGGCGCTCGGCTGGAATGCCTCTTGTCACTTGGCCTTTTATTTTTCTTAGCAAGTGTTTGGCGTTCAGCTTATAGTGCCAGCTGCCACTTACTTTGCTAAGGTGCCTGGCGCTCGGCTGGAATGCCTCTTGCCACTTGGCCTTTTATTTTTCTTAGCAAGTGTTTGGCGTTCGGCTCATAGTGCCAGCTGCCACTTACTTTGCTTAGGATTTTAAAGAGGAGTGCAATATTTATAAATCTCAGAAACTCATACATTCAACTGTTTTTAATTTAAAATAAACAGAATTCAGTACTGAATCTCAACTTTTTATTGATAATACCTCTTTAGAGAAGTAGCATTCTAAGGCTTGTTAACCAGCCTTCCGGCCATGGTTTCTAAGGTATACGCGCATTTTCCTATGGCCTCTGCAATTCTGTATGGGCCTTCCCATGGTGGCATCATCTTTTTGACTATCCTTACATTCTTTTTCAGAACCAGGTCACCTGGCCTAAAGTCTCTGTGCTTTACTTTCTTGTTATGGCTGTTCGCGAGTGTCTGCTGGTAAGAGGCGAGCCTCACCGCTGCTGCATCTCTTTTTTCTTCCAGCAAATCGAGGTTAAACCTTAGCATATTGTCATTATGCTCACGGTTCCATGCCAAGCTTCGAACAGTTGGAACTAAGTGCTCGACCGGTATAACTGCCTCGGTTCCATACGTCATGGTGAATGGACTTTCTCCAGTCGGTCTTCTTGGGGTCGTTCTGTAGGCCCATAGGACGTTCAACAGTTCATCTAACCACCTTCCTTTCCTTTCTTCTAGTTTCTTCTTGATACAAGTAAAGATTGTTCTGTTTGTAATTTTCGCTTGTCCATTGGCCTGTGGGTGACTTACTGCTGCCAGCTTTTGATTAATTCCATACTCCTCCAATAGCTCTCTTACCTGCTTACTGTCAAGGTTGGTACCATTATCCATGACGATTGACCTCGGAACACCAAACCGGCAAATAATATTACTCCAAATGAATCGTCTCACATGAGTTTGAGTAACGCTCGGGTACGGCTCTGTTTCCACCCACTTAGTAAAGTAGTCTGTAGCCAGTAACACATACTTGTTCTGAGCTCTGGCAGTTGGTAGAGGACCAACTACATCCATCCCCCATTGTGCGAAAGGCCATGGTGTGGCTATTACATGCAAGTCTTCAAGCGGTTGGTGGATCAGTGGTCCGAACCTTTGGCACTTATCGCACCTTCTGGACAATTCTTCCGAATCTCGCGACATGTTTGGCCAGAAATACCCTTGCGCCATTGCTTTATGTGCTAATGATCTCCCCCCTGAGTGGTTTCCACATACACCTTCATGAATAGCTCGTAATATTTGCCGAGCCTCTGTGGGGGTAACGCACTTTAAGCACGGTCCAAAAAAGGATCTTCTGTATAACTAGTTATGCACTACGGCGTACTTCGCAGCATTCGCTTTGATTTTCCTAGCCTCATTTCTTTATTCAGGCAGAGTACCATCTCGGATGTAAGTTATGATCGGATCAATCCAACTTGACTCATATGGAATAACATTCACTTGCCAAGGATCTGAGCTGAAGGTTCTTCGAAAATGGATGGCTGGTTTAATATTCCCACTGGAACCACCCTTGCCAATGTTTCTCCAGAACCCGAGGCGCTACATGCTAGCCTGTCGGCATCTCCGTTATACTCCCTCGGAATTTGAATGAATTCAATTTTTTCAAAGTTCTGTGCCTCCCACATAACAACAGAACGATATACTTCCATCGTTTCGTCCTTGGTTTCATACTCACCCTTCACCTGCCGAACGACTAACTGTGAGTCACTGAAAACATTCAAATTCCTGACCTTAAGTTCTTTGGCAAGCTTTATTCCTACCAGCAACGCTTCATATTTTGCCTCATTGTTCGTGGCTGCGAATTCAAGCCGAAGCGCTTGGCTTAAGGCTGTACCTTCTGGCGTCTACTGTTTGATCCCAATGCCTGCACCCATCTGATTCGAGGATCCATCAACGAAGAGTTTCCATAAGCACTTATAAAGATCCTCCTCCACGTCTTCTGAATCACATTCCAGTAAAAAATCTGCCACCGCCTGCCCTTTGACTGCTGTTCTAGGTTCGTATGTGATATCAAATGAGCTTAACTCTATGGCCCACTTCGTCATTCTTCCGGAGAGATCTGGTTTGTGCAGGATTATTCTGATAGGGAAAGTGGTTAGAACGATAATGGGATGGGATTCAAAATAATGCCTGAGCTTTCTTTTCGCATGCACTAGCGAGAGTATCACCCGCTCTGCCTTTGAATAACATCTTTCGGCCTCAGTCATTGCTTTGCTAACATTGAACACTGGATATTGCTTCCCTTCTGCGTAGCGGATCAAAACGCCACTTGTTGCGATGCTGGATACTTCGAGATACAAAAACAGCTTTTTGCCTGACTCTGGAGCTGACAGTGCCGCAAGGTTCTGCATATATTTTTTCAGAGCAGTTAACGCTAGGCGTTGTTCATCTCCCCAAACCTGCCTGCCGTGGCTTCGGATTGTGTCAAAAAATGGTTTGCATCGATCTGACAATTTGGAAATGAAACGGCTCAGTGCAGCAATCCGTCCCGTAAGTGTTTGCACCTCTTTGATTGTTGTCGGCTTGGCATTCTTAGTCAGAGCATTTGCTTGGGCAGGGCTTGCCTCGATGCCTCTGAGATTAACCACGTGCCCTAGGAATTGGCCTGAACTTACACCGAACGAGCACTTGGTCGGATTGAGCTTCATTCCATACCGCCGCAAAACATCAAACACGCCTCGAAGATGCTACACATGATCAGCTTTCTTCTTACTTTTGACCACCATATCATCAATGTAAGCCTCCACTATCTTCCCTATTTGTTCCTTAAAAATCTTGCTAATAAGTCTTTGGTAAGTTGCCCCGGCGTTCTTTAGTCCGAACGGCATAACTTTGTAGCAATACGTCCCGCGTTCAGTAACGAAAGAAGTTTTTTCTTCGTCGGCGGGGTCCATGGGGATCTGATTATAACCCGAATAAGCATCTAAAAATGTCAAGCATTCATATCCAGTTGTTGCATCCACCATCTGATCAATCTTTGGCAGCGGGAAGTTATCCTTCGGACAAGCTTTGTTTAAATTGGTAAAATCAATGCACACGCGCCATTTCCCATTTTTCTTTTGCACAACGACCACATTCGATAGCCAGTCGGGGTAGTGCACTTCTCTTACGAACCCCGCATCAAGCAGCCTATCAACTTCCTCGGTAATAATTCGGTTGCGCTCGGGGGCAAACCGTCGCTGCTTCTGTTTTACAGGTTTTGCATTGGGATTAACGTTCAAGGAATGACAGGATACCGAAGGATCGATCCCGGGCATGTCCAAGTGACTCCATGCGAACACATCTGCGTTTTGAGACAAAAAATCAACTAATTCCTGCTTTTCTTCCTCAACGAGTCGTTCCCCTACTTTGGTTGTCCGTTCCGGTCGGAACTGATCGATCTGCACATCAAGCAAGGGTTCTTCGGTCAAGCCCTCTGGTTCTTCCTCTCCATTCTGCCTGGAGGGAGGCTCCTGTAATTACTATCTCGGACTTACTGAACGAATGGGAGCTTTCCCCTTTCCGGCATGTTTCAGCGTTACAGAGTAACATTCTTTAGCTGCAACTTGGTCTTCATGAATGTCAATCACTTTGGTTCCGTCTGGTGTCAGGCATCTCATTACCTGATGCAGAGTGGATGGAACACCTCGAACCCTGTGGATCCACCCTCTGCCCATCAGAAGATTGTAAGAGGGATTAATTTCAACAACTACAAAGGTTTCCATCAAAACCCTCTCAGCAGCATGTACCGCTACCTCCACCATGCCGACGGGCTCCACTCGCTTTCCATCAAACCCTACTAATGGATTCCCGGTGGATTTCAGCTGATCTTGTTTGATCTCGAGCCGATCGAATGTATCTCTTGGCATGATGTTCGCACTACTTCCAGGGTCAATTAGAACTCTGCGCACCAAGCATTTAGCCATTGTCAAACTTACGACCAGCGGGTCCTCATGGGGGATCTGAACACGCAACAAGTCTGCTGCGTCAAACTTTATCTGCATTGATGCACTCTGCTAGTGCAGAGTGTTTACATTGCCTATCATTCTCTTCATCCGTGCTTGACGAAGGCGTGTTCGAAGCAATTCATCTGATTCCTCAGCAGGTTCTGGCCGATCGTGAATTGCATTAATTACTCGAACTGGTTGCGTGTTGTGAGAATTCGATTTCTGATTCTTCTTCACATGCTCCATTGGCCGGTTCTGCTCCACTGCTGGTCCTTGGATATAACTTGCGAACTCCCCTCTGGCTATCAGCATCTCTACCTGTCTCCTTAGGTTCCTGCATTCGTTAGTCTGGTGGCCAAAATCAGAATGAAATGCATAGTGTTTAGACTGATCCCTCTGTTCGAGAGGTTGCCTGATTGGTAAAGGAGGTCGGAACTTATCTTTATTTTCTTGGTACAGTCTTGCTAGGGTAACTTTCAATGGAGTAATCGGCTCTTCCTCTCTGGGCCTCTTCTCAGAGTTCCACGAGGAGCGTTGCGGTTGGGCTGTTTTTGCCTGATCTTTGTTTGGGTCTTTTCTTCCGTAGATATAACGGATGTCTTCCGAGCGTTTGCCGCCTCTTCTTCTTCCAAGCGTATAAATCCATCGGCCCTTTCGTTAAGTTCATCCATAGTCCTCGGCGTGTTGACCACCAAGCTTGTGTGGAACGGGGTGCCACGATTCATAGCCAGAATGAATGCTTGAACTGCCGTTGAAGGGTGACATTCAATAACCATGCTCTTGGTAAGGTTAAACCTGGTTAAGAAAGCCTGTAGACGCTCTTCAGCGTGTTGCTTCATTGTGAATAAGCTCGAAATATCTTTCGCTGGACGTTTGTTTCCATAGTATTGGCTTATGAACCGATCGCACAGGCTTTGGAAACTATCCACCGAGCCCCTCGGCAGGTTCTTGAACCAATTCAGAGCTGGTCCGGCTAGACTCGTAGGAAAGCACTTGCACATCAAAGAATCATTTTCAGTGTTTAGAGCCATTTTCAGCTGGACGTGATACACATGATCGATCGGATCAGTCGTTCCGTCGAATAGAATGAAAACGGGCATGGAAAACTTCCTCGGACTCGGAGCATTCAGAATCTCATCGGTGAACGGTGAATCCACCGTTCGAGCTGCTGAACGGAGTGCTTCATTCTCCCTCTGGAATCCCGCGGCTGCTCTCTAGTCTACTGATCTTCTCTCTGAGCTGTGATAATCGAACGTCGTCATGGAAGGCCGGTAGGTCGGATCGAATGATCTATCCTCAACAAAGTCCTTGCGCCATGGAGGCATAGCTTTCTGACGAATCAACTCTGTTGCTTCACCTCGGCTGAGCGTTTCTTTATGTGGATCAAAAGTCATCGTTTCGTTTCGCCTGATCTGCTCACGCCGTGGATCCATGTGAATCGATCCTTCACGATCATCCATACGACGAAGATTTGGCGGCAAACCGTCTCGCCGGATTTCCTCGCGGTAAGGATTAACTAGATTGTTTTCAACCTCTTCACCGTGATGTGCTACATCAGTACGTGCACCTTCTTCGCCTACCGGAAGTGGTCGTGGAATTACTGGAGCTTCTTGACGCTGTATTTCATTCCTTAGATCTGCATTTTCTCTCTGGAGAGCTTCGATCATATTCATCAACTCATCAAGTTTCACTTGCTGGACGTTCTCAACCGTATTAGAGTTGTCACCCCCTATCATGATTCCGGATCGAAGCAAAGGCATGAATTACGAACTTCGAAACAGATCTAAGCGTTACCGATGCAAACTCCGCTAGATCTGGGCTTATCTTTACCGAATCGGGGTCGCTGTTTGCTAGATCTGAACTTTTCTAGCTTCAAACGCGTCGGATCTGACTGCAACTGAGCAAATCACAATTGCGTCCTTCCAAAGCAAATGCCTCAGAATCCACAATAAACAAGAATTCTCTCGGAACAAACTACAATCTCACTGATCTGGATTCAACTTCCAGAAGTCACACTACATATTCACAAACTCGATTGAACTAATATGGTACTGATCGGGCTCGAATTGATCTTCGTCCTCGCTTCCCACAGACGGCGCCAATTGAAGATACAATATTCCATTTCATCTCTCTCACTCTCGTCATGGTCTATTTATAACTCGATTGAACTAATATGGTACTGATTTGACTGCTTTGCTGATAAAAGTTTTTTTTTTTTTTTTAACAATGCCAAACGGGCTCTAGGTAAGCTCTACTCAATTTAGACTTGGTAAGCATAGTAACATTTACATAAAAGACATTGACTCAAAAAGGCAGGCTAATTCATTATGACCTCAAAGTGATAGGTTGGAAACTAAAAATATTTATTTATACATGGGTATGGTGAGAGAGAGGCTTGGGCACTGAACTAACTTCTATTTTGAAACTTCTTAACTATTCCGATGGGACACCATGAGATAGAATGTACAACAAAAAATTTCTTTGTAAAGAATATGAGAAGAGGAAGATTGGCGAGTTCTGTTTGGTTATATATATATATATATATATATATATATATATAACAATTGCAGACATTTTATATATGTATTTTAAACTAAGTTTGATTTCAACCAAACTCATTTGCCACCTTAGTTATTGTTAGTAGGAATATGATCCGTGAACAATTGCAGACATTTGGAGCCAGGTTGCTCATCTCTTTTTCTGTCTCTCTTTTGTTTTTTCCTTACCTCATTAAATTCCTTTTTACTATTCGTTTAGTTGCCTATAAGTCTAATATTTTTTAAAGTAATTTAATGGCAATATTGTTATGTAACTAAGACCTAGCAAAACCATCTCATACAGACTTTTGTATATCATTGAAACAAATATAATTCAGCCTCATATTTCATACTGTTCCATTTGTTTGTGTCCTGAAATAGAAACTCAAAAGAATAAAGAAATAACACTAGAAAAAGAAATAATGGTTTTATAAGATGGAAAGAAGATTATAATGTAAGTTTAACATTATAAATATTAGAAAAGATTTGACATTATCCTGTGCCCTAATTAATAGAGCACTCAACTCCTGATATTCCATTTTCGAGTCCCCTCCCATGATTTGTCAAAAATAATAATAATAATGAAGAATGGAACTTTTTTCCAAGACAAACATACATAAGTGGCATCTATCCTCCATGTGTTTGGAAGTAAAATGGAGAGTTCCTAGCGTTCTTTCTTTTCTTTTTATTTCCCTTCTTCTTTGTAATGTCCATTGCCATCCCCATCTCGTCTTCCATTCTCTCTCCTACCTTCTATCATAGCAAAGGCCAAGTCTCACCAAATACAAAGAAAATGAAACTGAAAGCCTTACTTTAAATGGTGTCAAATGAGATGGATTAACACATGAAATGCAGTGCGTTCACTCCAAGTAGATTTTTCATAAAATGGGCGATTGTTTGTTTTTACTTTTTAATGAAAATGCTTAAAATTTCATTGAAATCTTTGAAAATTAATATAAAAAACACAATGGAATAGCAAAGACTCCTTTCATATTTAGAAAGAAAACAGAGTTGAACCTTGACGCCTATTTCAAAATCAGCCCAACTCATTTCATGTGAGGAGCAACCGGTGCTTGATGAATAAATCATCAATAAATTTGTCATTGAAATTAGGCAAGTGGCCCCTAAATTCCACACAGATATATATACACACACACATATATATATATATATAAGAGCACTCTTTTCAATAAGGGTCATGTCATCTCTTATAATGGCTAATTGTAATATATAAGAGCACTCTTTTTAATAAGGATCATGTCATCTCTTATGGTTAATTGTAATGGGTGGGCGCTTGTTTATTTACCCAAAAGCTCGAACTATTGGGTAGTGCTGCATACCCACCTATTTATACCCAATCACTTTTCCATCCGATTCTAATGTGGGACAAATGATCCTTGTTACATTCTCTCCCACCCAAAACTCGCTACGCCCTCGTTGCGGTTCGGGCCACCCTGCCTACCCGGAATGCTAGCCCAGACGCCTTCCGAGCCGGGTGCTTGGCGTGACACCGGATCAAGGATTGGATCTGGCTCTGATACCAACTGTAACGGGTGAGCGCTTGTCCATTTACCCAAAAGCTCGAACTATTAGGTAGTGCTGCATACCCACCCATTTATACCCAATCACTTTTCCATCCGATTTCAATGTGAAACAAATAACCCTTATTACACTAATATTCAAGTGATTACAAGAATGAAAAAGGGGAAAAGAAATTCAAAGACAATTCATCTATCTAAATTCCTGCCTATACTTATTGCAGGCTTAATGGGGAAATTGCTATTATTTGAAAACAAAATTTTTCATAATTACAGGAGGAAGTATTGCAGATTAAATTAACCCAAACCAAAACACTTGCACTGCATTTGAGAGGAAGTTACGAATCAAACTTCAAGAAAACCCAATTCAAGTATTCAACATTTTTTAACATTACAACACAAAATATTGAAGATTAAATTAACCCAAAAACAATACATTTAGCACAGCATTTGAGATCAAGTCACACATCAAACTTCAAGAAAACCCAATTCAAAGTGTTCAATATTTTTTAACATTACAACACACAGTATTGAAGATTAAATTAACCCAAAAACAAAACACTTGCAATTCGTTTCAGATGTAGCCACGTATCATACTTCAAGAAAACCCAAATCAAGCATTTAACAAAGAAGACAATAAATATGGTACAGAACGCCAGTGAAAATTTCTAGTTACTCAAAATATCCTTCCATTAGTAGATAACCAGTTAAAAATGGAGAAGACCACCAATCGTTACAAGATATTGACAAAAACATGATTCATTATCAACAAAACTAACCCATTAATTCCTATTACCAGATCCATATTCTTTAAAGGCCATACACACAGATCCAAACTAAAATAAAACCCTAAAACTCCTGAGACACAGATCCAATCTCGCCCTTGCCTTTCCCAGCCTTCTTCGGCAACAGAATCTGATGAATGTTGGGCAGAACACCTCCATTGGCAATGGTCACAGACCCCATGAGCTTGCTCAGCTCTTCATCATTCCTCACAGCCAACTGTATATGCCTCGGAATGATTCGATTCTTCTTGTTGTCCCTTGCAGCATTCCCAGCAAGCTCCAAAACCTATTAAAATAACCAAATGATCAGAAAACCACTTTCCGAGAAAATCAGAGAGAAAATTAGAGATTGAATGTTACAAACCTCAGCAGCAAGGTATTCGAGGACAGCAGAAAGATAGACCGGAGAACCAGAGCCAACGCGTTGGGCATAGCGGCCTTTTTTGAGGTAGCGAGCGACCCGGCCGACGGGGAACTGGAGGCCGGCCTTAGCAGATCGAGTGACCGATTTGGAGGCTTTGGGCTTGCCTCGACCACTCAAACCCTTGGTTGAAGTTGCAGCAGAACTCATGGCTAGGGTTTTGGATTTTAACTTTCGAATTTCAATAAGTGTATCAAAGAAGAAAACTTGCCCTGGTATACAAAATGTGAATGAGGATAGGTCATAGGTGGGGTTTGTTGTTCTTTATATAGAGAGAAGGAGAGGCAGAGGGAGAGGGCAAACTCGCTTCTGATTGGTTGTGTAATTTTCACCCGGATCGCCAGCGTGGCAATATCTAATCGCGCGGGAAATGAATCTGATTCCAGCTATTATTTGTATTTTCATTTCCCTCTTACATTTTACCATTAATGCGACGTCGTCCCTCGTTCATCTTTCACAAAGACTGCAGATAAAGGGCCATTGTAGCTACTGATTGGGCTGGGTCTAGTAACTCGCACTGGCAGTCCATGCTAAGATCCAGAAGTTGAGACAAGTTCAATCTCTTAAAAAACTTTTAGTCGATGATCTAGCCGTTGAGTTTTAGGCTCAATTTGTTTTGACGTAAAATATTTTTTTATTTATAGTTTTTCGGTATTTGGCAAAGGTCGAATCCAATGGGAAGAATATATAAAATAGCTTGCCGAAATTTGATGGATAAATTATTTTTATTAAATTTTCATATTTTTTTTTTCGTAAATATTTTACGACAATCAAACACCATAAAATAAAAAATATATATTTTCAACAAACGGAGACTTAAATTAAACAATCTTTTTTTCTTTTTTCACCTTTTTTTATTGTTGTTGCTGCTGCCGCTGTGTGTCTCAATCTCTTTAAAAAAAACTTCTAGTTCAAAAACCAAGCTTTGGGTAATACTTGGTTGCAAAACTGACATGACTAAAAATCTGGGGGTGATACTTCTAAAGCCCAATAGAGTGTAGCCTTATGCCCTTGTGTTGTTGCATCTGAATATCTCTTCCATCATAGGAGTAAAGATGGGTGCGTCAGTTAAAAAAAAAGAAAAAAAAAAAAGAAACAACAACAACAACAAACTGATATTATGATGACAATTCTTAACATTACGAAATATAAAATTACAGAGGATTTCAAAAATAAACCTAACATTTGAATTTTACTTGAATAAAATCATTGACCAACCCAAACTCATTTGAATGGGTGTTCTACAGTCGTGCCAACGCCAAATGATAGCCCTTCTTCTTAGATTTTAGCACTCCAATCTCATGAAGAAATGAATGATCCGTTACCTGCCTCAGGAGTGAAAGTGACCCTTTTCCGTCAGCAAAATAATCTTCTCCGCAGAGGGGAGGAAAAGTGTAATGGATGAGTGGCTGAACATTTGACTGGAGATCCTTCTCATCGCCCTCGCAAATGAGACTAACCCCACACTTCTTCACCCGCCAATGCTTGTCTATTCTGATTGACATCTCCACTACGTCTCCACTTTGCAACCAGGATTCAGATTCCTTCCACTCAGATTCAAGATACCAGAATGGTACATAGTTAAGCCACATCTGATATTCACGCCTTATTGGATATCCATCCACTGTTGGTTGATAACGCCTTTTTCTGCCTATAATCTTATTGTGGATATCGTAGGAAATAGCAAACATGTCATCATCATCATTGTGGTGGCCAGCAAAAACACAACACAAAATCCACCCTTGTATCTTCTGATCCGGAGGCACCACAAAAGATAAAACTGATCCCATACTCTGGTAGTTGCACCAATTTGGAACCTCACTTCCAGGAAGAAAAATACTAAAATCGCCTTGTTCTGGCAGTCCCTGTTTGGTCAATCATACGTTACATGTCAGACTAGACTACCAAACAATGATGATTTTCTTACCAAAATTTCACAGTTAGTTCTCTACATGCTTAACCCAAAATTTAGCTATGTGCTGATTTGACCGAGAATGACCAGGAGATTATCAAAGTTCCCTTTCTAACAGAGAAAGTATACTGAATAAGTTATCCCTAACTCGGGCCAAGTCACAACTCACAAGTTAATAGAGATGACTTCTTCCTTAAACTCGCCAAGGACTTCTAAGTCGCCAAAATCAACAATCAATATTCCAATAAAGGTTTCTTAAGACCAGTGCTCACACGGAATGCATATTACCTAAATGTTTAGGAGCTTGGAAACGTACAGAGATGTCATATAAAAAAATTAAAAAAAAAAACCGCAGAACATTTCTCATGTCATTAAATCCAATAATAAAAATAGAATTCTTAATCCAAGTCAGGATATGTAATAATGATCAAAACTATACGAGTGTAGCTGCAGTCTACTCACTACGCGGTTGCTTAGATATACAGTGATGATACATTGCAAGAGAGAGAGAGAGAGTACCTGGTATTGGAGGAGATTTTTTCTAAAATCATTTGCAAAACTATTGTCAACTAATTTGGGGCAACCGTAAAAAGTCATGAATGGTGCTTCATCCACTTTAGATTCAATTGATATTCTTTCCAATGATGTGCAGTAGTTTGCACTCAATCCCTTTAACTTTATTGGAAGCCCTGGAAGCAATTGAAGCCAAGTACATTGGTTTAGATATAAGCCCTTCAGTTTAGGAAGGCTGGTGATGCTAGCTGGTAGGCTAGAAAAATTGTTTCTGCTAAGATTCAAAAACTGCAAGGAGATCAAACTACCAATTTGATTGGGCACGCACGAGATATTGCAGTTTTCCAAATATAATTTCAAAAAACAACTTGATCCCTGTATAGAAGCCGGTGACAGCCCAATGGAATCTGGACTCCTTGTTAGTGATGCCAACGATGAAAACCACGATATAATTGCTGACCCGCCTAATTTGGAGCAGCCAGAGATATCAAGATGGACAAGAGATTTCAACAATAACATGGTTCGTGGAAGCTTGCAAAGATTCTGGCAATTCTTCATATTTAAGACAAGAAGATTTTTCAGACATCCTATGGATTGGTCAACCTCTCCCAACTTTGTACAATGGCTAAGCAAAAGTATCTCAAGACTACCAAGCCCAGTGAAATTCGGGGTTTTTGTCAAGAAATAGGAATGACTGAGATCGATGTATTTTAATTTATTCAGAACCTGTCAGAAAAAGAAAGTAGAAAAATGAATTCCTATGTGGAAAGTTTGGAAGAAAATAAAAATCGTCATACCTTGGTTTCTCTCCAAACTTCTTCAAGGCTGCTATAGCTAAAGTCAATAGCAACCATGTTATCCATATACAAGGTAGATGGTATACATTTCAACGGGAAACCTTTCCAACACAACCATACTAGTCTTCTGGAGAGATGTTCATAGCTTCCTGTTAGGTGGACATAACTGAGATGAAGCAGTCTCAGTGTGTTCATGCCTGCAAACCCCTTCGCATCTAGTTCTAGCTCATATGATCTTGGCAAGTTCAGGACAAGGCCTTCAACTAGACTTGTTCCCTGATGATAAAAGAAGTACATACATATATAGATAAGTATATAAATATATATATATATATACACACATATAAAGAGAGAGAGGTCAAATGAAAACCATTGTGTATGGCACGAGGATGACACCCCCTAATTGTGAGACTTCAGTGGTGTGTCATATGCCATGGCACTCTGAAGAGTGAACATAACCTCCCATATTAACAATTCAATTCATGTATTTGCACTTACTGTGTTATGTTCTAGTACATCAAGAACGTCCTCATAATACCACAATCTGCTACGTTCTCCAGGCTCTCGACAGGATTCCTGGCGGACAATCTCTCTACCCATGTCTTGAATTAGATCATGCATCATCAGCTGGTTATCAGAATCAATTCTTACAAGACAACGACGAGCTAGAACCCCGATTCCAGATTTCGGAAAGAAACCGCGGCCTTCAAGTATTTTGACTGGCAAATCTTGGTCCATTCCAACAAAAAAACATGCAATATCTAGGAATAAACCCTTCTGTTCATCATCAAGTGAATCAAAGCTCAGCCTAAGTTTTCCTTGAACGTCGTCGTGAGGAATCTTTTTCAACTTCTCCAATTTACTTCTCCATTCAGGTACAGTTCTGCCTGACAAAAAAGAACCTAAAATTTCAAGAACTAAAGGAAGCCCCTTAGCATAACTCACTACTTCCTGAGAGAGGATCTCATAGTCTTCTATGGGAGAGTCTCTCCTAAAGGCATGCCAACTGAAGAGTCGAAGGGATTCCTCCTTATTCAACTCCTCAGGCGTATACACCTTATCCACTTGAAGTGAACTTAGCGTAGACAGATCCCTAGTTGTTACAATGATCCTACTTCCAGGATGTAGCAAATCGCGATTTATGGCTAATGCCCTCAATTGGGAGACGTCATCCACATCATCAAGGACAAGAAGAACCCTCCGACACCATGCTCGCCGTTTTATTTCCTCAATTCCACGATAAAAATTTCTTATGCTTCGATTTTTATCAAGTAGGAGATCAGAAAGAAGCCTTCTTTGTAGTTTAACAGGGCCATTGTATTGCTTCCAAGTTCCTCTGACGTTTTCAAGAAAGCTACTGCTGTCAAACCTACGATGTAGGAGATTATACATACCTTTAGCAGTTGAAGTCTTGCCTATTCCACCCATTCCCCATATTGCAACAATTTGAACATCATTTAACCCCAAGCTCAGCAACTCTTTGAGTTTTTCAACTCGAGAATTTATTCCAACTGGGTAGTCGGCAACACTTAAATGTGATGGATCTAAAAAATTTGCAACCACTTCAACAATATAGTCAATCAACTTTGACTCATCCCTGCAAATTTTTTTATCCCACAATTTAGAAAACGTTTAACATATATATGCATTGAGTAAATTTGTCAATCACAACAACAGTGACAATAGAGTGATTCAATCATGCTATATTTGAGTATACATAAGCCAAAGTGATTTAATCATACCTAACCTACCTACCTAAAAAAACAGTGGATATTCACAAATTTAATTATTCAACAGAATTAATAGAATAACCTTGTCCAAATTTGGGTTGGGATATAATTAATCCATAGTCAAGTACTCTGGCATAAGCTAATTAATTGGGAAATTAACATAATAACAGAAAGAAAGAAAGAAAGAAAGAAAGAATGCCCACCCGTTGGAGACATGTTTGGAGTCGAAGCCAGAAATATTGGCAGCCTCGGTTAGAGCAGCCCTCCAGCGGCGTAGCTTAGCGTCTTTGAAAAAATAGTCATGGTGTCTGGTAAATGCTTGGGCGTAACCATTACTTTGCATCCGAACAATGGAGGGATCGACACCATAGAAAACAGGAACAACAAACTGTTTGAAGGTCCTCCTGCAGTCCATGATCTTGACAAGCTCGTCGAGGCACCATCTTGAGGCTGCGTAGTTCTTGGAGAATATGATAATGGCGATGGATGAATCCTCAATGGCTTTGAGAAGTCCCGGTCCAATATCTTCTCCTTTGGTGAGCTTAGTGTCGTCTCTGAATGTGTAGAAACCGTTGCGATCCAAAGCGGCCAAGAGGTGACCGGCAAAGTTGTTGCGAGCATCGATGCCGCTGAAAGACAAGAACACATCGTACCTCCGTGGTGAGTACGTGTTGTGAGAGTTAGAGACTTCGTACTTCTGTGATGATGAGTGCATGTTGTGAGAGGAAGAGGAAGAGACTTCTTCTTCTTCTTCTCCATTAAACAAGACCTGCATTTTCGGAGCTAAAACCATCAAATGTTCCAAGTTACACAACAAATTAAAAGCTTGCTTAGAATTTATTTTATAACCAGAGGAGGAACTTTTTTTTTCTCTCTCTCTAACAACTACGGAAAGCCACTTTCTACTCTTGTCCATACATACGATTGTTAGTGATTGCTTACTGGGCTGGGGTTTTTCTGGAGTATTTCTTTTCCAACATTATAGGGACCACAAACCGACCTTTTTTCTTTTTCTTTATCAGAACCACTCATCACTCATGCTTCCCAGGAAGGAAGGACGAAGAATGGAAGGAAGATGGGAGGAAAGAAGGGTAGAAACGAGACGATGAGAGAAATCATCGTCCTTCATTCACCCACAAATTTTTCTTTTTTTAGTGGGTCCCATCCTCCAAATTGCCAAAACGCACTGGGTCGGTCCTGAAATTATATCAAATGATCCAAATTATTGTATTATACCAACCAGTCCAAATCAGTGTGCTCCAATAATGATCCAAATTATTGTATTATATAGCAACCAGTCCAAATCAGTGTGCTCCAATAACTTAATCCATACGTTTAGAATTTCTAAGTTTTCGAACAAGATATACCTAAGATATACCTAAAATAAACTAACAATGTAACTAATTTTTGGCAAAGATTCAGGCAACTTTCTTAGCGCTCCAAGAATAATCCATTGGCTGCACCATCGTTCCTAGATAATGGAAATCACGTATAACAAGCCTGCATTACAAATTCCTCTGGTATGTACTCCACAACTATGAAAACAAAGACTTGCCATAAAAAGAAAATAATTTATATGTGAGCTAAATCAAGATAATTATTAGATGCTGATAGTTACCGGATGTACATGTAAACTCAAAACCCATCAAATATCCATGCTCATATAACCTACATACAGTATTTCGTTTTCATAATTTTTTCTGCCTATAAACTTGTTAGTGTTCCTGTCCCATGCCAAAAAAAAAAAAAAAAACATAACAAAACTTCATAAATGAAGTTACAATTTCCATTATATTGCATTATATGATTCTGATATTCAACCAAAAGCAACAATGCTACAGGATTTATTAAGCATGATGCGGGGACCCAGCCTTCAAAAATTGTAAGAGTTTGAGAGAAGCAAAACAGAGACACTCTCAATTAACCAAGAAAAAGAACGAAAATACAGCAACATACCAACTCACTCCTTATATTTCCACCATTTTTGTTGAATCTGATAGTTCTTGTCACTCCAGAAATTCTTTGTTGGGAACAGAAATTCCCCAAAAATATGTTGAATATAAATTGGTAACAAAAAGAAGAATTCCCAGCTGAAGTATTCTACAGATCAACGTCTAGAAAAGAGCATTGTTGAATCAATCTGCATACACCTTACTTCCAGGTGTAATCTTCATAACCACTCTGGTCCTTCGAGAAATGATCTTGTCCTTCAAAGCCATAAAAAAAGTGATGTAATTCTTGCAACTGTCATTCATATTCCAAGATTTTCTTCACATCCTGAAACACAGCTGTTGACTCATTCCATCTGCCTTGATGGATTTCATTTTAGTTTCCCACAAGCATTCAGCACATTGGTAGCTATTGTTCATCAGCAATATACAGCCACACCTGCAAACGTGATCAATATATCAATCACATGTACCAATGACAACACAAACCACAACAACATATTAAAGTTGTAACTTAACTACTATGGTGTAAAGAATGAATAACAATATCATTCTGCTACACTGTCAAGCTAGGCTGAATGAATAATAATATCATTCTGTGACACTGTCAAGGTGGAAAATTTGTACTCCGTAATTTGTAATTTCTAATATACCATGCTCCACACAGACCATATTCTCCTGCTCTCAGGTTATATGTTTCAGGTTTAAGAAGGGTAATGTTTAGAATTCACTGGCATTGCCAGATGCCCTTTGAGCCTATGGTGCAAAGAAAACAAAATCATGGAAAATGTATTAAGAAGGCAATAACTCAGAATAAAATTGTGTCTAAATATATCAAGTAAAAGATTAACTTTTCGACATATTAAGCAACTTCGATATTTAAGAAGCAAAAGTCAGGGAACATGTAGAATTGTAAGGGCGTTAATGAAGTTAATAAAGAAATATAAAATCTTGTGATGTGATAAACAATGTCTTTTGATGAACTAAAATCATGTAAAATCATGAAATAAAATCATGTCTTCAGCTATTGCATTCGATGAATGGACATGAAAGTGTACACTAAAATTTGAAATCAATTAATTTGAAGACTGTTGATAGTGGTTCTTTATTGAATGAGGATAATGTTCCACGTAAGCCAAGAGTGCTGAGATCAGTGCCCAAGTGGAGACCCAAGCAACACGAGGGATTCTCTAGAGTCAGCGAGTAAGAGAGGGAAGGCGGTGTATGAGGATACTTCTGTAAGTTCGAGCTCTGTAATATGGGGTGGTTAGGATTTCTTAACCTTGCCTTTAAAGCTGATTAACTCTCCCTATTTATAATGCTTTAGTCAGGCAATGCCCACCGGTCATAGGGGCGAGCCTCCCTTTACTCGAAGGGTCAAGGGTCCTTCACCCTGACAGAGGAGACATTGTCAGGTGGGCCCAGGCGCTTTTGTCCCCCGGTCCAAAGGAGAATGGCGTCTCCTAATTAATGCAAGTCATATCAATGGTCTTTCATAATTAATGCATTCTTCAGTCCTACCCAGAGCTCGAACTTCGGTATCAGAAGCCTCTCCCCCTCGTGCCGGTCCTCAGAGAAGGAGGACGATTCCTTGGGTCCAGCCACCTGTCCACATTTCCTCATACTCCCAGGCTCAAAGATAGGGAACAGGATCTCTTCAAGGTACCGCCTTCTTGGCCCCGCGATACCTTGTTCCAGACTTGGTCCTTGAGGCCCTTCCAAGTTCAGCATGGAGGTTCGAGGTACGAGAACTCTGGCCTCTCGAGACCTTCCCCCTTGGATCTAGTGCAGGGGGAGGCTCGAGGGCAGGAAGGGTAAAAGTATCCGAGGTCCCACCTGAAGACGGGGACCTCGAGAAATGGTAGAGGGGAAAGAGGGACCCATCCGACTTGAGAAGGGTACCTCTACAGAAGAGCGAAGGGTAGCGACCCCTTCCTCGAATAACAAATCCAGCTGCAGGCCAAGTAGCTCAAGATCACTTGGTCCTTGTTTAGTGACACGCACTCGTCTGGCTAGGTGTGTCTATTTTCAAAGAGAGGTGCCACGTAAATAGATGTCATGGCACATTTGTTAACATTTTGCCCCCCTACTCGAGGTCGCTAGTAGGGAGAGCTCGAGCAAGCCATTATGCTCCCTCGTGAATAACGAGGTCCTTATTGAATGGTTATGTAGATTCAGTTTCTCTAGTTAACGTGTCGGCTCCTTGCAGGCACATTAAGGGCTTTGACGTTTCGAGCCCCGCGTCGTGTCTTTTCGTCTGTCAGAAGCACAACGTTTGGGATGCCAAACCCTTGCTACTTAAATACTTGGCCAAAATCCTCAAATCAAAACTCTATTCTCCCTAATCAAACCCTGCTTTCCATTTTTTATACTCAAATCAAGCTTCCCAGCCATGTCTCAATCAATGCGCGATGATGTCCCCAGTGTCCCTCCCTTGATTGAATGGCGAGTTACACCCTACTTTGGTTCGAACGACACCTTTTGGCTCAACAGCGACGTGCTCAGTGATGTTGACGAGGTCCAGGAAGAGTCTTTTCTCTTCGAGGGAGAACCCTATGCGTCTGTGGGCGTGCCAATTTCACCCAACTCGATTATGAGACTTAGAGTAGAGCGAGGCGACTTTCCCCACTCGAACCTTGTTCTTACCAGTCAAACAGGTCATGGTCGAGGGTGGGATCTATGGACGGACACCATCTTGGCCGATGCCAGGTTTGCTAAGACTCTGCAAGACTCGCGGATTACGGATGCCGTTCGTAATACTCGTGAACTAACCATAGCTCGGGATGGCTCTAGCCTTGCCCTTCTGCTATATCTGTGGAGCAGAGACACCCACACTTCTGTTACCTCTTGGGGGGAATTCGCCCCTACTCTCGAGGACGTAATGCAACTAATATGTCTGAATATGTTTGGCGAATATGATCCCAGCTCTTGGGTTCTTCCTGAGGACGAAGTTAAAAGTGCCATCGAGCTTAGGAGCGCTGTTACCTAGGCCGGCAAGCTCGCCTTACGTCACCAAAAGGATGGCGTTCGAGAAGACTTCCCAGAAGCGGGCAACAAATGCACTTTTTCCTCCCTCGTTCGTTATTACTTTCAAGATTTTCCCCCCTGAGAGCTGGAAGGGGAGGAAACCTTCAACGGTCCTAAATGCAACGATCAACTTCACCTTGCGGGCTTCTTGTTATACTGGCTCTCTCGCTTCATCTTTCCAGGTCCACCTGATGACGGCCCAAGTCCTGATCTCATTCCTCTAGCCATCAGACTTTCCCGAGGCAAGAGCTTTCCCTTAGCAGCGATGTTTCTGGGCTCCCTCTATCACAAGCTTGACCTGGTTCATGCTCACATGGAGCGATCCGTGGGGCGTATGAGCGTAGTGTCCCCAGTGAACACTATCTTTCTTCAGATGTTTCTTTATGAGCACTTTCCAAGATATGCTTCTCGACCTACAGTTCTTCCTCGTGATAGTGACCTAAAAAGATCTCACCAATGGCACAAACATAATCCGAAAAGGAAATTGGCAGAATATATTGACAGGGAGAGGTTATTCGTCGCCCGTCCTTATACTCAGGGTCCTTGCGTTGATCATTGGTCCTCGAGAGATGGCGTGGTTATCTCGGGTAAGGCACTAAGGCGCAATCCTGCCTCGACTATCCTTGCAATGTCCTTGGCGGGCTACCTTCCTGCCCTTCTTCCCCCGAACTCAGGGGTAGGAAAAGTTTATAATCTTCACCGAGTGGCTCGGCAATTCGGATGGGATTAGGGGCCCGCTCAGGACTATGGCCATGGTGCTCGCCAAGATCATAGTACTTATAGCCTGGGCTTCTCTCGCTTCCTGGACTCAGGGGGTGCAGAGCTCGTGGGGGCTCGACGCATTCTTCATGTGTCCCCCCCATCGCGAGTGGGGCGATGGGGTACGAGGACGCGAGCCTATTGGAAAGAGGTCATTAGCTCCTTTAAGCAGTTTGTGTGTGACGATCCCGTCCCCGTCCCTGCTCGTTCCTTGCTGAAGGGCGACACCTCCTTTCGTGCATACAAGAAAAGTGCAAGTAAGGCATGCAACACACCCAATCTTCGTCCTTTGGTACTGCCAGATGCCCACGCGCCTATTATAGCTCTTCGAGCCACAAAAATTCCTCGTTCCAAACATAAGGCTGACTAGGACGTTAGCACCTTCGTGCCTGCCACAACTCCTTCTTCTTTTAAGCGAGTTAAGGTGGGTGATTTTATTGTCGTCTGCTTCAAGTTTATTGCCAACCAATCCTGACACCATTCTTTTCTTATCTCTAGGGCCCTTCTGGCCACGATGTCGCTGCTAAGGCCTCGATTCCCACAGGGCTTCCTCGTCCGCCGGCTCGAGCTGGGGCGTCCTCTGGTACGAGGTCCCGATCCTTGCCACCCGAAGGTGACCTCGGCGGGGGCGTTCTTGTAGATGACAATACTCGTGCCTCCACAGCCTATGGCGGTCTGGATGTTCCTTTAGATGCCTTTCACACCCTTACAAACGTCCTTGAGGACCCTGAGCAGGCCACGAGGGATGTATTATCATTTGATCTGAACCCCCCCCCCACTCACTCGCGGCATGGGATGGGGAAGGAGCTCATACCGCTGGCTCGAGGGTTAGGTAGGTTCGATGAGGAGACTGGATAGTGAATACTGCTGCGGACCCTACGATGGGGGTGATTGAGATTAAGAGAAGTCCTAGCCATTCTCCTACAAATAGAGGTAGTCTCATTAACCTAAAGATTGCTTTCGTTCCTTGTTATAGTAATTCTTCATGAGCTTTCGCATAGGTAGAGATCACCGATATTCAAGTAACCGAAGACGAGGCCACCGGTCAGCGCGCGGCTCAGGATGGCGAAGAAAGTGAGGAAGAAACTTCGACTGAAGTGCTTCAAGACCTCCCGCATGAGCCTCTGGCTGAACTAAGGCAAATGGTGGAAGAGGCTATCGAGGCACTCCCCCATCCCGAAGAAAGCAATTCGGGGGGAATGGAGAGCTCGAGCTCTGTTGGGACAAAGTGGTTCAAAGGATGAGGGTGGATCAGCCAGAGACCAAGGTGGCTCGACCAATGAAAGCGTGAAAGTTGGATCTTGCCCGTCGAGTCCCGACCCTCCTAGGACAGCCGAAGCTGGAGTAATTGCTATAGAGTCGAGGCAGGAGCCAGCTATTGCCTCGTTGGGGTTGGAGGAAAATACTACTTTTGTTGTCTTATGGGGAGGAACCAAACTTGCTCTGGACGAAGTGAAGGTTCTAAACAAAGTGAAGGCCATGCATCCCCAGACCTTTGAAAATCTTGGTGGGGCCTTTTCCTTGTTCTTGGACTTTGTGTACAAAGCACTGGTCGAGTTGGTGGCAACCCTTCGCAAGGCGAGGGGGGGACGCTTAAGTGTGAAGGATCTCGGGGTGGTGGAGGGTCTCCTCGCAAATCTAAAAAGGGCACAA